GGGTGTGTTTATGTATTGTTAACTGCTAGATGAGTTTGTGTGCTTGGAGCCTAGTCCGCTGTCCAAATCTCGAGATTTGAGGGCTCCAAGTACGGTTGTTTGATCATATTGGCACTGTGTTTTGATTGGTGAATTGAATGGTTTTTGGATTAATGCATGACAACTGGATGGTGACTAGGACAACCTATAATGATGACTGAGACGTGCAGTAGGATTGTGTAGGGGTTCAGTTTTTCAACTGTTTGCTTACCAACTGTGACTTGGATGGATCACTTTTTCTTGACAGTCGTTTATGCATCTAGTTCAGGGAATCAGAATGAGAGATAGAGCATATAGGTAGCCATGTGAGATTTGAGCTTGCTCGTTTCTTTCTTGTGATATAGTTCCCTCTTCCATGATGTGCAACATTCACGTTGTCATTAGCTAAGATGATGGAGGCGTAGGATTAGCCCACGACCAAATTGACTGTCCTGGTGTGTCATACCCCCTAGTCAGCCCCTTTGAGCTGTGTGTTCTCCTTTCTTTCGGCCTACCATGAAAAATCACCCTTTTGCATCTCTTAGAAGGTTCCACAGAGTGGTTTTTACATGTCTCTGCTGTTTCTGCTAAATATATGTGAGAGTTGGAGGTAGTTCTTAAAAAGTTGAGCAGGTGTTTGAAAAATGTGCAGAGGTGGTGGTTCTCTTAAGAAATGAAAAAAAAAATGAAAGAAAAACAAAGAAAAAATGAAAGCAAAAGAGAGCCACCACCAAAAATCTAAATAGTGCCCATTAAGTAGTGTTTCTTAGCAGTCTGGCTTGGAAATACTAACATTTATGTGACCTCCTTCGCTCTTGTGCTCTGAAGAATTTGAGTAATGCAGAATAGCAGAAAGAAAGTACGGGTTTGATTGACTGTGAGTTTGTTGGGTTTGGAAATGTGGAACCTTGTGCTATGAATACTTCCACCACCTAAAAGGCCTTTTCCCCATGTCCAAGACCCTAGCCAGTCATTTGAACCTGTGTCTAAGACCTCTGGATTGGTTAGTGATGACACCCATTTATGTGAACTCTATTTAGAGGTTGCCGTCATGGTGAAGAGATGTTAGGAATTGAGAGAATAAGTATGCGCTTTTTTTCGCATCAAATTGTCCTGACCCCACTGGTCGAGAGTGAGCGATTCATTTCCTTGTTCTTTACACTCTTTACCTCGGTGAGGACCTAGATGGCTCGGTCTTGATTCTGATCTCTTGAGTTTTATGCATGAGGTGACTATCTTGAGTAAGTGGTTAAGTCAAGTCTATGTTGGTTGATGAACAGAAGGGAGACTCCTCCTTTACTCGATTTTGCTTCACTCAAATGTCTTTTGTGGTGGTTGTCCAGGTTGCTATTGAAGTTGTTCATGTGTTGATGTTTGAAAGCCAGTATGATTCACGTGTTTCTGTGCCTATATGATTTGTCCCCAATGTTGGCATGATTGAAATATGTGAGCTTACCTTGTGTTTGACTTGGTTTGCTTGGGGACAAGCAAACGGTTAAGTGTGGGGGAGTTTGATAAACCGTTAATTGCACATGTTTTTGCCCCTATTCTTAAGCCGTTTGAGATGTTGATTCTCGTGTTTTAGGTCGATTTCACGCTAGGTTGTGCTTGTTTGTGATATTTCAGGTCCTAGTACGTGAATGAAGGTTTGGGAGCGAGTTCGAGGTCGATTGGACGAAGATCGGACGTGTGGCGAGTCGCTGAGGAAGCCACACGGGCACACATAAAATCCACACGGCCGTGTAAGGAACCAATGTGGCCGTGTGGGATTGTGCGAGCCTTCACACGGGCAGACTGGGCATGCCACACGGCCGTGTGTCCCTGGCCGTGTAGGTAGCCTGAAGTCCAATTAATCGAAACTCGGCGTTTTGACCCTCACACAGGCATCTGGGTAAGCCACACGGCCGTGTGGCCTGCCCATGTGAGTCGGGAATTCTGGTTTTAACCCAAATTCGAGCCACAAGTGAGGGAATCGACTTTTCAGAGCAAAAACAGAGCCCTAGAGAGAGAAAGTGCGAAGAACACATCCTAGAAGCGATCTTGGAGCTGGGTTTCGTCAAATCGAGCTAAGAGATCATCATAGGAGCGGAAATCATCATCCCAGAGCAGATTCTTCCCATTGGTATGAGTATGACTGCTTTGCATTTTGTTTTTCTCACTCTCTCTCTCTCTCTATGGAGTAGAACCCTTCTCTCACTTGGGTATGAAGAACCCTAGTTCCATGTGTTAGGGATTTGATTGTAATGACTTGGGATGATTATACTGTTTGGTTTTAATCGAATGATGCATGTTTCATTGAATTGATTGAAGTCTGATAAGCTTTTCTTAATTTCTGCTGCAACCTGAGATAGATAGAATCTGATTAGGTTGTTAGAGCTTCTTCATTCGGTAGTAGGAGATTGGCTATACGAGAGTTAGTCAGTCTACTGCTTTGTACTGGAATCCAATTATAGTAGTGGAGTTCTGTGCTCATTGCTTCAGCTTTCTATCCCGATGAAGACTAGTCGTCTGCCGGGTAGTTAGACTGAGAGGGCTTGGTCAGCTAAGAGATTCCAAGCTACTGTCGGATCTTGCGCAGTCTAATAAATAGTAAATCAACCCACGATAATTACAACTGAGACCTAACTAAGGAGCTAGGGGGACTCATTCCCGAGTGACTCTTCCTTTGCTTGAGAAAACCGAACCAATTCGTGCTTTCTTTCTGCTTTCAGTTAAGACCAAATTCAATCGACTTAGATTGCTAGATAATAGATAATCACGGAGTAGGCAGTAGATCTAGACCCCGGGTTGATATTTAGAACTTGCCACTTTACAGCATTCCCGGACTGCGATTACACTTGGTCGCAGTTTGGTTGTGTTTTGGCGTGTCATTGACCTCCTGTCCTGTCAAAAATTTATACCCATTGATAACATTCATGATTGCCTCAGCTTCCTCTGGAGAAGCTTTTCCAAAGATCATTGTATCATCTGTGAATAAACAATGAGAAAAGCGAGGGCAGTTAGGCTTTTTTAAGTCCTTGAAAAGATCCTTGAGACAAACCTTTATCATGCAAGAACGATAAAGCATTATACATTAGCATGAAAAGGAAGGGAGAAAGAGGGTATCCCTGGAGGACAACTCACTGTCTGTCCTTCATACTTGCTTTATTTGAAACATCCCACCTCTTTGAATTTGGAAAAAAGACATTTCTACCCCGGGGTATAGTTAAAAATCTCAAATAACACAACTTTAAATAAAATACCAAAATCAAATATCTCAATATCTCAAATAGAAGCCCTAAACACGTGGGCCAAACTCAAATTGTCCAAAGGAAATGAATCTCCAGTCCTTAACTCTTAACCATAAAGTCTTAATAACTTGAAAAGTTCTTCGAAGCTTACTCTGACGCCTGGCTCGACATCTCTCAGCGGTGATGGTGTTGAGCTCTTCTACCTTGCTGATCACGGACTGGCTGGTTAAGATTTCCTCCTCTACGATCTGGTGAGTGAATTGGGGTCAGTCTACGCCCTACTTAAACTTGAAACGCCTAAGGTTATTCTCCAGAAGCTCACAACAAATTTGTAAAAATGATTTCTACTTTCGCCTTTCACACTTTAACTCTTATAAAAATGTATTATTTCGTCCATTGGCTTACTTTGGGGCCCCTACCTCGTCTTAGCTGGCACCACTGCTAGCCTTACTTACTTTCTTAAACATGACTACCCTCACAATGGGGTGCCCCTCAAATGGGTTTGACCACCGCGGAATAAATCACCATCCGGTGTCAAACTACGGCGTGACTACCGCGGAACGTATCACCATCCGGTAGCACACCTAAATCTAAGCAATGGAAACCGCGGAACTCATCACCATCCGGCTCCAAGCCTGACCAACTACCGCGGAACGTATCACCATCCGGTAGTGATCAACTACCGCGGAACTTATCATCGTCCGGTAGGGATCTGTCTAGCTAGTGGCTAGCTAAGCGAGGTTATTTATATTTACTCGTGACTTTGTCTTACTCTTAATGCCATAACTTAGTAAACGATGAAGCATTAAAAATACTCGTTCTTAATCGTCGTAAAAAGATGAACTTAAATTCTTAAACGTAGATATTGAAATGCTCTAAACAATAACTCAAATCGAAGCATGCATAATCAACACAATCATAAATCAAACAGTACACACACACTTCATGTAAAGCAAATACTTGAACATGTAAGGCGTAGAATTTACCCCCTTTACACTCACCTCGAAAACAGATGATTCTCAACCTCTTAGTCAATGAACCCCAGTCAACCGTACCTCGAGAACCTATAATCCGAAAATATACTAACCCTTAGTTGGTAATCCTACAACTTAGCTCTTTCAAAGTAGCATTTTTCCGTCCTCCTAGCTTAGTCCCAAAATTCATTAAAAAGACCCTTAAACTCTTTGAAACAATTTTTCTCAAACACTGGAAATCTTTCCCCAAATTCACAAGACTTAACCCCTTACTAATAACATAAAACCATTAAACAAATCTCATAAATTTCTAAAACAAAAACCCTTGCCATCCTAAAACTCGAAATTCTAACTTTGGGTAATTCAAAACATAAACCAAAATTATTAACTATTATTTACACCATAATGAACCCCTTCTTCCTATTGACTTCTAATATAAATAAATTTAATACCTAAATCACCAACGTCTAAAATTCCGATTCCTAATTTTAAAATGAACTACCATGATTCTAGTTAAAAAAACAAATGTTAACAAATTAATAAAACCCACGAACAGTAATTTAATAAATCAAAAGTAACATCTTATCAATTTTTAAAATTGTCAAACCGACTTTAAAAATCATCAAATAATTCCTAGATAATTATGCTAGTATCTAATTTCTATAAAAATTATCAAATGTATTATATTCGCTCGCACAGTAATTTATTTACTTAAAACCCACTTAATAACTATTTTAAATATTATAAAAACAACTCCAAAAATTCTCCGATTCATACCCAACCATTCTCTTGATTTTATACTATTTATAAAATTATCACCTTACGAAGATAAATACTGTAAAATTACTAAAATAAAAATAATCTTGATAAAATGCTATTTTTGGCCCATCGTCACTTTAAAAACAATAGGGGACTAAGCTGTTCGTACTAAAATTATGGACGTCTAAGCTGAACATTTTCTCGCAGACTGTAGCATAATTTCCGAATCAGTCCTTGTACTTTTCAAATAGGCAGACTTGATACCTGAACTATTCGAATAGACTGGAAAGAAGATGGTCGAGCGGCGGCTACGTCGGAGACACAGAAGCGAGGTCGGACATCCGGTGGCGAGGTTGGGGTTTTATTTTTGCTGCCGTTGCTTGGATCGCGCGACGAGGACTGCTGGATTGGGATCGTCGATGAGAGCGATGTTGTTGCTGCCGGCGAGGGAAGCGGAGTGGTGGCGCTGGTTGTCTGGCGGTTGTTGCCTGTCGATGTCGGAGATGAGGGTGGGGTCTCGCTGTTGTTTTCGCCAGAGGAAGGAGTGCACGCGAAGGAGTTTGGAGGACTGGGGGTTTAGTTTTAGGTTTCCATTCTTTTCCTCTCTTTTATTCCCACCGCCGCTGAATAAAACGAAGGAACGGGGGATTCGGGAGGTTAGATAGAGAGGAAGAGTCCGAGGGAGATGGAGTGTAACGGTAGAATTTTGGGTTTCTTTAATTATTATTATTTTTTCTCTCCTAATGCTCTAATGAACACGAGTGGAGCAAGATGATTATTGTTAAGAACCATAACAATTCTAATTATTATTTTGTGTTTGCCCTGATGGGAAATGGATGGTGATTATTAGGATGATTATAATAATAATAATAATAATAATAATAACAATATTCATTAATGTTATTATTATTATTTATAATTTACGGTACCAACCTTACGTACGTAACTGTCGATCCAACCGTTCGCTCGAATCTAAACTCAAATATCAGGGTGTTACATTTCCTCCACCCTTCTAAAAATTCGTCCCCGAAATTTGAATCGATAGAGAAATCACTTGTACGATAGAACGCTGTATTTGAAAGAACGGCGCTAGTTGGGATATAACATTTCCCTCCCCTCTTAAGAAATTTCGACCTCGAAATTTTGGGCTGAACTTAGTTGTTAGATTTGGCGGAGCTGAACTAAATCACTGGGTCTATTATGGAATACCGAGTACTGAAAACTGAGTACGAGATTACAAAGGAAACAATCAACTACTACTCTAAGCTAAAAGCAGATAGTTCCATCTCATAGTCTTCCATTCACCCCTCATAATCACTTCAATTAGTTCGTTCATGCACTCCATCGTCTCCACGACCACCCTCTACCCTTCCTATGGCAAAGACTCTAGGTTGGCCACCAGCTCTCGACATTTGACCATGATCGTGACTAGTATGGTGGGTGTTGTCGCCATTGAGACGTCTTCCATTGTTGTTGTAGGATCGATTGGGTTGGTTCCTATATTGTTGCCCGGTCTGGGTTCTTCCTCCTCCGCCCCGGACTGATTGTTCAGACTGGGCTCTCTCTTGCCCTCCTTTCCTAGGGCAATCTCTAGCAAAGTGTCCTGGCTCACTACAGTAAAAGCAAACTCCCAAGTGTAACTTGCACTCCCCCGAGTGGTTCTTCCCACACTGGTTGCAAGGGTCTCGGTGAAGGTAAGTCGCCCCTGACCGGGTTGAGCCGGCATGGCTTTGGGTGGCCTCATAGTAGCTCTGGGCCATCCTCCTCCTCTCCTGGCTCAGCTGTCGTGGCCCCTCAGACAGGCTGGCAGCCTTTCTCTTAGCCCCCTCTCGTTGCATCTCCTCCTCAAGCAGGGCAGTATTCGCCCTTTCCAAGCGGAGAGCTGCCTGATAAATCTCTTCCCTGTTGTTCCAGTTCAGTATACTCAGCTGGCGCCGAAAAGTAGGCTTCAGGCTCTCCAGGTAGTGGGTGCGTTGAGCTGCTACATCCTGAAATTGAGGTCCTCCATAGGTAAGTAGCTTGTCGAATCTGGCCGTGTAATCAACCACACTCTCTTCTTTAATTATTATTATTTTTTCTCTCCTAATGCTCTAATGAACACGAGTGGAGCAAGATGATTATTGTTAAGAACCATAACAATTCTAATTATTTTTTTGTGTTTGCCCTGATGGGAAACGGATGGTGATTATTAGGATGATTATAATAATAATAATAATAATAACAATATTCATTAATGTTATTATTATTATTATTATTTATAATTTACGGTACCAACCTTACGTACGTAATTGTCGATCCAACCGTTCGCTCGAATCTAAACTCAAATATCGGGGTGTTACATTATTCTTGTTTTCCTTGTAATCTACTTCCCTTTTATTAATTCAATAAGTTCATCCTTACCAAGGAAAAAAGAGAGTCCCTGACAGATGCCGTGATAAGGGGGAAAAGAACTCCGTAGGTCCTTCATTGAGGAGGATTGATAACCGGACCGTCCTTATACACTCCCTAACGCAGCTGCGCCATGTTTGGTTACAACCGTAAGCTCTAAGTAGAGCGTCCAAATAATCCCATTCAACCAAATCATATGTTGCATCCACATATCCAGCTTCATCATCATGTCAAATCTTCGTCCATGTCTCCGATTCTTTAGGTGATGAAGAACCTCGTGCACAATGACAACATTTTATGAATCATCCGTCCACAGGGATGGCAATGGGGCGGGTTTGGCTAAACCATCCCCATCCCCGCTTTCAATTATCTATACCCATACCCGCCCCATACCCATGCCGTGAAAGGGTTCGCAAACCCATCCCCCGCACCCGTGGGTTTCGGGTACCCATGGTGTTTGAGTCTGACTGAGAGTAGGAGTGAGACTTGGGTAAAAGGGGGGGGGGGGGGATGAGCAGAGTAAGCAACAGGATCTTCTTTCCTTCCACTGAAATGAGATTACAAGCAGCTGTGATCAGGAGAGAGGTGATCTTAGAGAGAGAAGTAGATGTTATAGAGTGAGAGAGTAAAAAATGTGATCCCCTCACCCACCGGAGTAAATGCCGTATTTATAGGCTACATTGTGGTGGGCGGGTATTTAATGCGACCTGACTACTGAATTTGTCAGACGCTTAGGCCATGACTCTACCTAAGGCTAGACACTTAACCCATGATTATACCTAGGACTAGGATGTGACAACTCTTCAAAAAATACGGTGTCGTTTCCTGGCTTCTTAATCCGGCTTGAGTTGGGCAAAATGGCGCCGTTTGGCACCTTGGTTCTTGTGGCGCGTTCCGTCTTGCGGAACCCAATCCGCGAGTGTGGTCTTTTCCGGGGATGTGGTCTTTTCGCGAGTTGCTCCTTATCTTGGGCGCAATGGTGCTGACGCGAGTGGTTCTTCTGGGATGGCGCTGGACTGCCTTATTGGAGCGACTAGACCCGAGTCATACCCCCAACATTTTATACCTGTCAGGGGGTATTCGCGAATGCCGCCTGTTTGACCTCCACGCAATGGGCTCGGGTCTGCGTGATCTACACTCGTGTGCTTGGACTTAGTTGTGCGCGACTTATGCGAGAATGCCTCTTGTTTGAACTCCGCTCAATGGGCTCGGGTCTACGTGAGCGTGACTTATGCGACTGAAACTTATTTTGAGTGTGCTTTTCTCCTTTCCGCGGGTATACCCTACCCCTAGGCGGTGCGCGGAAGTTGTGACGTCACCGCCTAGAGCCTATACTTTATAGGTGTCGACGTGTCATTATATCGTTCACTCGTTTGGGTGGCGGTTTTTGAAATTCAAAATCACTAATGGTTGCGATTCCCGATGTAGCTTTAACCGTTCAGCTTCCCCTTGCTGGCTATAAATACTTCTCTTCTGTCGGGAGAGAGAGTCATTATCCTCTTTCGAACCTCTACTTCGCCTTTCTGTTTTCTCCGTCGTCGAGATTCCACTCCTTCTCCCACAACCTTAATTCTCCCTTTTGTTGTTGCTACTACTCAAAGAGTACGATGGCCAGCAGCGGTGCAAATAATGAGATTAAGGTCGTGCAAGACGAAGAAGGTAATCTTTCCCCCCTTTCGCATCTTTCTACTGATCCTTCCTTGGATCTGGCCGATTCCAGCAACGGAAACGGCGGTGAAGCTGATGATGAGGGAGCTCCGGCGACCCCATAATATGAAGTCGATTCTGGACGAGATCTCCTGCACAGCTCATCTGATGTAGGTATGCTAGGGCAAGCAGTTGGAGAGTCAAGCACGCGAGCTCGTGGGGTGTTGATAATCCGCCGCGACCACGCCAGCGGCTCTGAGAATGTTAATGTCGACCCGCCAGAGGACTCTGACACCCTGTCAGAGCTGGTCTGTGTTTCGCGAGTGTATGAGGACATGAGCCGACTTGGCATTCGTGGAGTGGGCGCGACTTGCACGATCTTGGACTGGCGGAGATGTTTGGGCTAGATCCGGTGCCAAATGATAACCTTGTGCACGAGCCTGATCACGTGTCAGTCTACGGGCAGAAGGAGGTAACAGAGCTGGTGCGCGGGTTGGGCTTGCCCCCCAACTGGCAGTATGCAGTCCTGTTCGCGCGGAGTCGAATCGCAAATTGCCCCCCGGGTGGTTTGGGATATACTCCGAGTATTGGGGAATGGACTTCAAGTTCCCCATCGATCCGTTGTTGTGCGCGCTGTACAGACGCCTTAAGTGCTCTGTTGCGCGCTTGTCTTCGTCCGTGGTCATGCACGCATCGTGTCTCCGTCTCGTGTGCAAGATATACAATATAAAGGAGCCGACATAGAAGAGCGACTGTCTTTCCATCAAGATTCTGGATAAAAGGCCTGATGGTTACATGTATGGCTCGCCCAAACTCGAGAAGAACTGGTTCGAGCGGTACTTCTTTGTGAAGCCCGCTCCGGGGGAGTGGGCTAGTGAGTATGTGGAGGAGCCCATGGTCTGGAAGAAGGGGATTTCCCCGTGGGTTTGAATCAGAGGTGGGCGCGTATGACAGGATCGAGGAAGAGTATAAGGCGTGCCTTGAGGAAAAGATCAATTTGTATGCCAGCGGGGTCCGAGCGGCGTGTTTGGCAGAACTCTTTGGAGATGATTAGTTATTTTCCTTTTTCTTTTGTATTCTGTTGTATTAACGGGCCTCTTATGACCTATTGGTGCAGGTGTTGATTTCTCTTCTCTCGTGAGCATGATGTCTGTTGACGACGTTGTGAAGGCTCCCCGGGCACCGCTTGCGGAGAAGAAGAGGAAAGAGGCGTAGCAGCCCGCAACCTCAGAGAGGGATGAGGTAGAGCAGCCCACTGTCGCGGAGAGGGCTTCCAAAGCGTCGCGAACAACCGAGAAATCACCCTGGGCCATTGTTGAGAAGGAGACTCAGGCAAGTAAGCCCCCGCGGCCCGAGAAGACGGTTGCAGGTAGCTCTTCCGGTGCAGCTATGCAGCAGACGTTGCCCGAGATGCCTGATTCGGGACGGCTGCTATTAACTACTTTCGTGACGTGCGGATCCATACCGATGCCGCTTGTAACAGCTCGGCGGTGCAAACTACCCTATGGGCTCTTGGACCCATGCTTAGCATCTCGGCGCGGATGGAGAAGTCGGACCCGCTTCAAGATCTTTCTCATGTTCATTTCGCGGTAAGTTTTAGTTGATTTCGTGTGTGTATTGCGTTTTTGTCAACTCATATTTTCTCTAAGTTCTTTGGCTCCATGGATGTAGCGCTTGCTGGCGACCATCCGAGTTCAATAGGAGCAGGCTCGGGACACTGCGGCCTTGAAGGCCGAGATGTCGAGAGCTGTTCAGCTGGTAGGAAAGCTTGCTGGCGTAGAGGGTGGCGCAGAAGTGGCTACCAACCGGGCCAACGAGGAGTTGGAGGAGCTAGGCATCTGCAAAGCAAGCTGGCGGAGGATGTGGAGGCCGCAAAAGTGCAGGTTCGGGCTGAGGAGCGGGCTTCTATTCAGGAGGAGCTAAGGCGAGAGTTTGAAGAGGAGCGGAAGCGGCTGGAGGATGAACGCGCTCAGGAGAAGGAACGCATGTAGACCGATCATGCGGAGATGCTGAGATAGGTCCGCGAGAAGTTTCAGAAGGAGAAGGCAGATCTGGTCCACCTTCACGATGTGGCTAAGACGAAAGCTGTGCGCACAGCACAGGCTAATGTTGTCCGCCAGTACAAGTCTTCGACTGCATTCGACAAGTTGTTGGCGGATGCGATGACTAAGGCTGTAATCGCGGTCCGCAAGAAGGTGCGGCCAAATAACCCTGGGATCCGCTGGAATACCCGCGCCATGGTTCGCCACGTGCATCAGTTGTTGGGTGAGAAGAAATTTCTTGACGCGGACTCTGAGCCAGAAATAGAGGAGGACGAGGTTAGCGCGGCGAGGCTGGCTGAAGAAGGAGAGGCTGGGGCGGATGCAACTGAGGATATTGAGAATATTGTTATTGACTAAGTGTAGTCGCGCTATGTCTATTTGTTTTTGTAGTTTATGTTGGTATTTGCCCGCGTTCTTTCATCTCCCTGATTTCGAATCCAAATATATTCAAGTTATCTAGCGAACGTTTCGTTCCTTTTTTGTTTTCCTTACAGCTCGTGACTGCGTAATGTGTGCCCCTCTTATTCTTGATCGCGCGATTACGTTGCTATCTTGTAGCTTTATTTGTTTCTTTGTTGCAACTCATGGTTGCGTGATTTTCTTGCAAATTATATGAGTGCTTGTTTGTTTAGCGTAGTTCATGACTGCGCGGTTACATTACTATTTTCATAGCGGTCGTGTGTGACGAAATGTTGTGTTGCCCCACATTGTTGCGCAGTAGTAGGGGAAAAAGAAATTTTCATTGTATAAAACAGAACATCAGGGGTACATGTAAATAGTGGTTATGAACTCCTGTGGTACTTCCTCATATTTAGGGCGTTCCACGTCCGCGGGATTGGTTCCTTGCTTAGCGCGCTTAGCTTGAATGTGTTGGCGCCGACAACTTCGCGAATTAAGTAGGGACCCTCCCATGTTGATGCCAACTTTCCGTGCTTTGCATCGGGGTAAAAATTGCGCCTCAACACTTTTCGTGCTTTAATGTTGTGCGGAACCAATTTGGCGTTGTAGTACCTCGCAACTTGCGCCTTTGTCGCGGCCAGTTTGATAGCGGCCAGCTTTCGGCGCTCGTTAATCAGGTCAAGCTCTGTGGGTCGCGCTTCGTTGAACATAGTGATACGGTATGTGGGTACCGTCGTCTTGATTGGTATGACCGCGTCACTTCCGTAGGTTAGCGCGAATGGAGTTTCGCCCGTTGCCACTTTGAACGTTGTACGGTGTGCCCACAGGACTGTATGTAGCTCTTCTGTCCAGTTGTCCTTTGCTTCTCCGAGGAAAGTGTGGAGGCCATGTAGGATTGATTTGTTTGCCGCTTCCGCTTGTCCATTACCATGGGGGTACGCGACTGACGCAAATCGGGCTATGATGCCCATTTCATCGCAGAAGTCTATGACTTCCGCGCAGTCGAATTGTTTGCCGTGGTCAAATATGAACGAGTTTGGGACCCCGAATCTGGTGAGTATATTGTTCTTCAAAAAGTGAACTACCTGTTGGGCGGTTATTGATGCCAGCGCCTCTTCTTCAATCCGTTTGGTGAAGTAGTCTATCGCGATAATGATGTATTTGCGTTTGCCTCTCGCAGTTGGGAATGGCCCCAGTAGATCCACACCCCATTATGCGAAGGAAGGATTGACGTTTCTCGGGAGATCGGTAGACATCGTGTGATGTTGACGCACATTCAGTTGGCATTTGTGGCATTGCTCGATAAACTTCTTTGTCTTTCTTTATGCACGACCAATAATATCCGTGAAGTAGGATGGTGCGTTCCATACTCAGCGCTCTGCTATGCATTGTGCAGATGCCTTCGTGTATATCTTGCACAATCAGTTGTGCTTCGCTTGGTCAAACACACTTGAGTTAAGCGCGCGAGTGTGAGCGTCTATGCAATGCGCCCTCAATGAGGGTGCAGCGGGCGGCCTTTTGTCTGAGTGCCCAGGCTTATTTCGCGTCTTTCAGTATTGCATCATCCGTCAAGAACGCGATAATTGGCGTTCGCCAGTCCTCGTTTTCTGCCCTTTGTGTTGTATTCACGATGTGCAAAGTGTTCTGGTCCTCTTTTTGTACGGAGACCATCCTTGTTGACTCGAAGTCTGTAGCCGTAGCGAGTTTGGACGGTGCATCCGCGTGCATGTTCTCCTCTCGCGGTATCTGGACGTATGTTATGTTTCGAACTGTGCCTCTCTCGCTCTGACGCGCTCTATGTATTGAGCAAGCGTGTCCTCTTTGGCGTCAAAGATTCCGTTCAGTTGGTTGACTGCAATGGAGGAATCGGATAAAATTCATACAACTCTTGAGCCTATGTCTCTGGCAGCCGTCAGTCCTGCCAGTATTGCTTCGTACTCAGAAGTGTGTTGGTTTTAAGCGTTTTGAAGAGGATGGCGATCTGGTGGATAGCCCTGCGGGCATCTTATGACCACGTCCGCGCCATCTCCATGTTTGCTGGCGGCCCCATCGATGTAGACCTCCCACACTCCATCGGGTTTGTCGCTTAACGTCACTCCTTCCGCGATGAAATTGGCGAGGATTTGTGCTTTGATCGCCGGCCTTGGTGCATAGTGGATATCATATTGTGATAATTCGACCGCCCATTTCACCATCCGCCCCTGACACCTCCATTGAGCTTAGAATTCTTTTGAGCGGCAGGTTTGTGAGAACTGTGATAATGTGTGACTGGAAGTAGGGGCGTAGCTTTTGTTATGCGCTTACTAGCGCTAGGGAGGCTTTCTCAATTGGGGAATATCTTGTTTCCGCGCTTGCCAATGTTCGCGATGTGTAATAGATCGACTTCTCTATCTGCGCGTCCCACCTTGAGATTAGCACTGCGCTCACTGCTCTCGCAGACACTGACAAGTACAGAAACAACTTTTCATTAAGCTCAGGGGCAGTCAATATAGGGGGTGATACTAAGTACAGCATAAGCTCATTGAATGCGGCTTCACATTCTGGGGTCTACATGAATCGGGCGCCATTTTTCAAGGTTTGAAAGAATGGATCACATTTGCCGGCGGACCTCGGAATGAACCGTCCCAGCGTTGCTAGCTTGTCGTTCAAAGATTGAACTTCGGTGGTGCTTCTGGGGGCGCGTAGCTGTTGCACTGCTATGATTTGTTAGGGGTCGACCTCGATCCCGCGTTTGGTTATCATGAATCCTAGGAACTTTCCTGCTTCTGCGCCAAAGACGCACTTTAACGGGTTTGGTCGGAGGCTGTTTTGCATAACGCCTCGAAAGTTTCGCAGAGATTTTCCAAATGTGAGCCTCCTCCCTTTGTTTTAACGATAAGGTAGTCCACGTAGGCCTCAATGTTGCGCCCCACCTGGGGCGCGAAGACTGTATCAATCATCCGCTGGTATCTGGCGCCCACTTTCTTCAAGCCGAATGGCATTCCTGTGAAACAGAAGTTTCTGGATGGCGTCATAAAGGCGGTTTCTCCTCGTCTTCGCAGCTCATTGGGATATGGTGATATCCTGAAAACATATCCAAGAATGATAATGTTTCATGGTTGGATGTTGCGTCGATCAGTTGGTCGATGCGTGGCAAGGGGTATGGGTCTCCTGGGTATACTCTGTTGATGGTGGTGTAGTCCACGCACATTCTCCATGCGCCGGAAGCCTTTTCACCAGGACTACGTTGGCCAGCCATCTTGGTTATTTTACTTCCTGGATGAGCCCGGCGGCGAGTAGGTGCACCACTTCTTCTTTTATGGCCTTCAAACTTCTCACCTGTGAAGGTGCGGCGTGCTGTTGTCGGGGTTCCGCGTTATTGGGAACCGCGAGGCAATGTTGCGCTACATGCCTTGGCACTCCTGGCATGTCTTCTGTGCATCAGGCGAAGAGTTCTTTGTACTCTTGTAGCAGTTTCACTAACAGCTCAACCATGTCGTTCGGGACATGAGTCGAGATGCGCACCTTCTTGTTCGGTTCTGTCGGGTCCAGTGCGACCTCAAAGTCAGAATCCATTGACTCGAGGTGGGGGTCATCAGCATGAGTGTCGATGATGTTGGTTTGTCGTGGTGCCGCGACGGGGCACGGGGCTTCTTGGTTGCTCTTGGTCCATGGTAAGCTGCACGACTCTCCTGTTCCTGCCTTGGTGGGGAATTTGAGTTTTTGATGACATGTGGATGGTAGCGACATGAATTTTGCAAGGAATGGGAGGCCCAATATGTCGTTGCGTGGTGAGTCACAGTCTACAATGGTAAACTTGATTTGCTTCGAAACGCGCAGCTCGTCATCTTCAATTACAACTGGCAGTGTGATTTCTCCAATGACCGCGACACGTGTTCCGGAGAATCCCACTAAGTTGCCTTGCGCCTGTTGGATGAGTCGCGGATCTATGTCCATCTGGTCGAGGGTGCACTTGAACAAGACGTCCACAACGCTCCCTCCGTCTATTAGCAGGCGGTGGGTCTTGCACGCGACGATTAGCGCCGTTATGGTCAGTGGATCTTCTGACGGGATTCCTTGTGAGAGCTCTGAGTCGCTAAAGCTCATGTCACACTTGGTGGTGGTGCTTATTGCCGTGCACTCTACTGCTTGGTCGCTTTTGTCTTCTTTTTTGGTCTGTCACCCTCAATTGTGATGACCCCTATCTCTTTGCGAACAATGTAAGATCCCGTCGTCTCGTTATAGTCTGATTCTGGAGGCGGTGGTGGGATAACTTATTGGTCCTTCCGCTTCTCTGCTCCTCTGACGCATTTCGTCAGGTAACCTCTTCCGATGAGGGTTTCTATTTCGAGTCGCAGTGTTTTCTGTGATCGCGCATATGCGCTGCGACTTTCACTGGCGTCGGCCAGTTGAGGCGGTACCCCTTTTCCCTGATGAGGTGGAATATGTTCTTTACTGAGTCGTTAAGAAGGGTGAAGCTGATGGGCGGGCGCCTGTCTGGAGAGCGTCTAAGCGTGCCGGCTCTGGTGGGGCTAGGGGTTTTCCATATCCGCTATGGTACTGCATGAGTGGTTGCGGATCCCGTCTCCTTTGCTCGTCTCTTGGTGGCTTGGTTGGTTCGTAACGACGGACAGATCCCGCTCCGAGGGTTTCCTCTAAGGTGATGGCTTTCTCGTTTTTTGCCTCCAACTCCGAGGACAGTGTGACGGGTGATAGACCATTGATTGCACATGTTTTTACCCCTATTCTTGAGCCATTTGAGATGTTGATTCTCGTGTTTTGAGTCAATTTCAAGCTAGGTTGTGCGTTTACGTCATATTTCAGGGCTTAGCGTTGGCATCGAGGCGAAGAAACGAGTTTCGGGTCGAAAGGAGCACGTTTGGGGTGAAGTGTGCTTGAGGAGCAAAATACCCGACCATGAGCAGAAATACCCGGCCGGGTATTATTTGGAGCAGACCGGGGAATTTATGTTTCGGGCGTCTCTGAGAAGCAGAAGGGGGCCCGGGCAGTAAGCAGAAATCCCCGGTCGAGTATTTCTTGCCTTGACCGGGGATTTTCCCATGTTCCCCGACGGTGCGTTTTGATAATACCCGGTCGCCACCCAAAATACCCGACCGGGTATTCAGGCCGGGGATCGCGACAGACAGCTTCTTAAGGGAAAAGAAGGGCAAAAGTGAAGGGTTAAGAGTTTTAGAGAGAAAAAGCGATACCTAGAGAGAGAAAGTGACGAACCTGGTTCTGCAAGTGTCCTTGATCGATCTCCATCACCATTGGAGCGCGACTTGAGCTTGGAGAAGATCTGATTGAGTGCCAGAAGCAGATTCCCATCCTTCACAATATGGTTTCCGCATCTGAGCTAGATTTTCCATCTCTCTCTATGGAGTAGCTTTCTTATTCACCTGGGTATGAAGAACCCTAGATTTGTATGTTAGGTATGATTGTATGAACCCAAGTACAGATTCAGTGGTATGATTATGTTCAATTGAGGTTTGATTTGTTGAATGGCATGAATCCTGATAAAATTTCTGTTGTTTCTGATTTAACCTAGAAAGAGAATATCTGTCTAGGTTGATAGAGCACCCTTGATTGAAGGTAGTGAATTGGCGACTTTAGTCGAGGAGTCAATTCACTATTTTGTACCGAATTTACTTCGGTAGTGGAGGTTTGGTTCGTTAGGGCCTCAATCTGTTTACTCTGGTGGAGGTTAGTCGCCCACTGGAGACTCAGATTGAGAGGGTCTGGAGACCTTTAGTCGAGACTTCAGACTGTTTAAGAATCTCCCGCAGTATAACTATCATTGAACCTAAACTTGGTAAATTACAATCCGGCTTAACTGCAGTCTAGGGGGAACCATATCCGGGTGACCTCTCTCGACTCGAAAACAACCTTTTTACTTGCTTTGCTTGTTTGCTTGTTTAGACCTTCACTAAAGTTTCACTGCTAAATAATAAGAACTCACGGAGTAGTCATCACATCTAGGATCCGGGTTGACATTAAAACCCAAACCCGCTATACTATGCTTTAGGAGGTGGTTACACTTGGCCATTTTCTAGAGTGATGGTAGGAGCGAGTCAACGGGACGCTTTGCCAGCGCGCGTTTCAACTCCGCATTGGTGGTGGCTTCCATGAGGTGGTGGGAAGCGGTCTCCGGTGTCAGGTAACGTACCACCATCGCGGTTCTCGACCATCTGACGTAGAATGCCCGCACGGCTTCCCGTCCTTCTGTTTTAGGTCGATCAAAGCTTTGAGGTGAAGCGACCTTCGTTTTTGTGAGGCGAACTTCGTTGTGAACAGTAGAATGAATTCCTCGAACGTGCGGATGATTCCGTTGGGGAGACGGTTGTACTAGTCTAGACATATGCCTGCGAACATGGACGAGAAGGTCCTGCATAGTGTCGCGTTTGAGTTTGTTTGTAGCTGCATGCGGAGGCAGAAGCTGCTGACGTGGTCTTCTGGGTACGTTGTTCCATTGTGTGTGGGGAGGGCGGGCGGTATTCCGCTCAGGTGTTCCGCCATAATCTCAGTACAGAGTGGTTGATGTAGGGTCCTTTTAGGCGGAGCGCGATACTGTGGGGAGAGGTGTTATTCCAAGAACGTCAATGACAAAATTATCTTGAATCATCCGTCCATAGGGATGGCAATGGGGCAGGTTTGGCTAAACCATCCTCATCCTCGCTTTCAATTATCTATACCCACACCCGCCCCATCCCCATGCTGTGAAAGATTTTGCAAACCCATCCCCCGCACCCGTGGGTTTCAGGTACCCATGGGTAATACCCGACCCGTACATCCAACATTATAATACCTAAAATTTTACATGTAGATTTTCAATTATAACATTGAATGCACCTAATATATCATGAAGTCGAGGAAGAGAAAATCATTCTTAATAAGGTTCAACGTATCTTATACCGAAACATACTTAATCCATAATTAAGATAGAGTACAATATCCATATCATTATTCTCAGACTCTGATACATCTACTACGTAATAACTAACTAACATAATCTTGTTAACACGAGAAAAAAGGGGAAAGAGTGAAGGGAGGGTTGAGGAATAAGAATTAGGTTTTGATTTGTGTGGTCACTCAATTGCATCTATACTATTTATTTTCTTGAGTTGCCCTCATTATCATTGATATGTTACAATTTTATCCATACATTTTTAGTATGTGAAAAAATGCCCTTAATGGGGCAGGTATGGGTATGGGTATGGGTATGGAGCGGGAAAAGCTAAAACTATACTCACCCCATACCCATCAAACATTTTACGAGTTTTACCTATACCCGTTCTATACCCAGTTAAAGCGGGAATTTCCCGCTCCATACCCATACCCATACCCATCAAACATTTTACGAGTTTTACCTATACCCGTTCTATACCCAGTTAAAGCGGGAATTTCCCGTGTTAACTAAATCGGGGGCGATTGAACACGTGGGGTTACCATTCCTACTTCCACCAAATGAGAACAGAGAACTGCTTGCATTTCGGATACCAGGCTATGCAAGTAGACATAATACTCTTCGAATTGTATTCGAAGTTGCATCATGAAAAGAGCTTGGACCTCCGCATAGAGATCCTCCCCAACTGTACTCCAATAATTGCAGATGAAGAAATCGAGAAACACGTGACTTGATTGGACTCAACTATCAATTTTATGTCTTATGTGCTAAATTTATTCTGTGTTTGACAGCCTGGCCTTTACTAGAAGCAAGATGATGGAATTTTTAAACCAATGGTCTCATATCAGATATTGTTGCACCCGTCCACAAAGTGGACCCAGGTGACACGATGCCTCTTTGGAATGGTGACACATGACATCCATATATGATTCGTGATAGTTCCAGTAAATTTATTATGGAGTTTTAGTCGGAATTGATCGACATATATTAGTATATGATTTAAAGGGTAAATAATTGAAATATGTATCTTTTTATTAAAAAATTCAAGATTTCAACTTTAACATGAAAATCTAGTTAAAATACTAGAGAAAAAAATTAACTTTAAAATCTATTTACGACCTTATTGTAGCTAAAATATGAGATATTAAACTGAAACTCTAAGTCATTTAAGTAAAATCGTTTGTAATTTAAGAAAAAATGGATTGAGAATGGAGCAACTCCAGTCGGTGATAGTACTCATGCTCGTCTCGCCCCGACCGCTAAAAAACATGTCATAATGTTCACTTCACCATAGTTGTCAATCCGCGAGTTGAACTATTTCCACAAGAACCTAGTGTTCTGATTGAGAGAGAGCTGCCCAATAGAGAATCGTGTCGATCCCAGTCAAATTTGGAGAAATCGAATCAAATTCGAAGATCAGAGTCTACTAATCTCATTTCTTAAACTTTATTCTTGTTTTAATACGATTCAGAAGCACCAACCAAGTCAAGAACTCGTGCTTGGGAATCAAATATTTAACCCATAGTACTCTAAACCAACCAACTCTAATACTTCGAGGCCTGATCGAATGCCATTGTCCTGACAAATAACTTAGGTAAAGGCTTCCCTTCATAGCTTAGATGATTGTCGCAAATAATGCACATCGAATTGCAGTATTGAATGTGTAAAAACGATGCAGAATTCTTGACATAGATAATATAACTACCATAAAACAACAATATTTTTGAACATAGAAGTTTTGAGTGAATATGGGGGACATGTGTCTTTAAGAGAGGGGTAAATATGGAAAGGTTGAGTGATGTTGGTTTGTCGAATGCGGATTGAAAAGGCACAACTAATGTAAACAGGTTTAAATGGTGCCCAGACCTACTAAACGCTCAACCATCGCCGTCTCTCCAAACCTTCCGACCAGACTCGACAACCGCGTAACCTCCTCCATCTATATTGTTATGCAAAGCAATTTTCGAAGGGGTAAAGATGGAAAGGTTGAGTGTTCTTGCTTGGAGAGCCGACTGGTGGGTTATGTAATTTCTTTGACAGTAATGTGCGATATCTTAACATCAGTTCATTTGGTTGATCTTCTACGTTGACTTTTGAGTTTATTAAAGATAAACAGTGTCCCGGGCTCCCGGCCTACTAAACGCTCAACCATCACCGTCTCTCCAAACATTCCCAACGGACTCGACAACCGCCTAACCTACTCCACCTATATTGTTACGCAAAGCAATTTTCGGAAGGGTAAATATGAAAAGGTTGATTGTTCTTGCTTGGAGAGCTTACTGATGGATTATTTAGTTTCTTTGACAGTAATGTGTTGATGACTTGATATATACACATGTTTTTATCCACCATTCCTGTACCGTTTGAGTCTCATCTCTCGTGTTTTAAGCCGATTTCACGCTAGGTTGTTCTTGTTTGTGATGTTTCAGGTCCTAGTACGTGAAAGAAGGTTTGGGCACGAATTCGGGGTCGATTGGACGAAGTTGGGGCGTTTGATGAAAAGCTGGAAATTCCACACGGGCACGCCTAAAATTCCACTTGGCCGTGTGACACCAATTTGCACGGGCAAACCACACTGGCCGTGTAGGGGACCCCTTGTGGCCGTGTGGAAAGTCCAGGGAGCTCACACGGCCAGCCTGGAAATCCACACGGCCGTGTGTCTCTGACCGTGCAGCATGCCTGAAGACCCATTAAGTGAAACGTCGCGTTTTCGCATCCATACGGGCAGACTGGAAAGCCACACGGCCGTGTGGTCGAGTTTTTGAGCAAGAAACAGAGTCCTAGAGAGAGAAAGTGCAAAGAACACATCCTAGAAGTGATTTTGGAGCTGGGTTTCATCAATCGAGCTTGGAGATCATCATAGGAGTGAAGATCATCATCCCAGAGCATATTTTCCTCATCTTTATGAGTATGACTACTCTGATTTCTGTTTTCCTCTCTCCCTCTATGGAGTAGAACCTTCTCTCACTTGGGTATGAAGAACCCTAGTTCCATGTGTTAGGGATCTTAATTGTAATGAATTGGGATTGTTATACTGATTGATTATAATCGATTGATGCATGATTCATTGACTCAATTGAAGTCTTATCATTTTTTCTTGATTTCTGCTGCAACTTGAGATAGATAGAATCTGATTCGGTTGTTAGAGCTTCATCAATCAGTAGTGGTAGATTGATTATACGAGAGTTAATCAATTTGCTGCTTTGTACTGGAATCCAATTCCAGTAGTGGAGTTCTGCGTTCATAGCCTTAGCTTTCTATCCCGGTGAAGACTAGTCGTCTGCCGGGTAGTTGGACTGAGAGGGCTTGGTCAGCTTAAGAGATTCCAAGCTACTATCGGATCTTCCGCAGTTTAATCAATAGTTAATCAACCCAAGGTAATTACAACTGTGACCTAACTAAGGAGCTAGGGGGACTCATTCCCGAGTGACTCTTCCCTTTCTTTAGAACTTTGAACCATTTCCTGCTTTCTTACTGCTTTTAGCTAAAATCACAATCACTCGAATTAGTTTTCTAGATCATAGATATTCATGGAGTAGGCAGTAGATCTAGACCTCGGGTTGACAAATAGAGCTTGCTTATTACTTCATTTCCGCACTGCGATTACACTTGGTAGATGAGTTTGTGTGCTTGGAGCCTAGTCCACTGTCCAATTTGATGAATTGAGGGCTCCAAGTACAGTTCTCTGCAAAATCCTGCTCAGTATGCTTTGAATTGAAAGTCTTTATGGTGATATGCAACCTAGGGAGGTTGTTGTAGCACTATGGAGGATGTTGAAGTATAAGATTTTTCCTATTTGTCTCTCTGCTGTGCCGGTTGATTTTGTGAACTAGTGAATTTAGGACCGTTGATTCATGTGGCATTGATGACTCCTCATATGTTGTGGACTCGTGTATCAAAAAAGGATGCTCAAGTGTGAAATGAAAAGACAGTTGGTCCTCCATGTCAAAAATTTGAAATTCTAAGACATGGGGTAAGCCCAACGTGTGCGGCACCGTTCATTGCACAAAATCGGGTTTTGGAAGAGATTTTAGTGATCCTTGGTGGGGTAGGCCTACAAGGTGAAGCTAAGTTGTCTCTAGTACAAGTAAAATTTCCACCTGTTGAACGGTTTGCCTACTTGAGGATGTGTTTTTAAGGGCACGGATAGAGCTTCTGACCCCCCCTTAATTTCATTGACCCTCACACATGAAGTGAGGAATAGGAGTTAAAAGAAGTACTCTGGCGAGTGACAGATGTACAAAAATTCCTCTTGCTCACCTAATAAGGGCAGACCGCGCATACAAACTGCAGTTGGAACCCCAACAAAGTAAACCAAAAAGAAGAAAAAAAACAAATAGTAAGACGAAGGGGTTCCAACAAGTGAAATGAAATGAAAGAGCACCTGATACAATGAGTCCTGGGTTTACTTTGAATTGTGTGAATCTCCTTATCCATGAATTGACTGTCTTAGTTCCACTGCTTCTCATGATCTTGGCTTGAGTCTAGTACTCGCATTGAGAGAGATAGGGGGCGTCTTAGAAGACTAGTTGACCTCGTAAGTTGCTAAATGATCTAGAAAATCCTCTGCTGACGATCGGGGGTGCATGTTGCTATAGTGTTCTGGAGAGTTGCATTGGTTTGAGTCGGGTTTGCTTGGGGACAAGCAAAGGGTTAAGTGTGGGGGAATTTGATGACTTGATATATACACATGTTTTTATCCACCATTCCTGTACCGTTTGAGTCTCATCTCTCGTGTTTTAGGCTGATTTCACGCTAGGTTGTTCTTGTTTGTGATATTTCAGGTCCTAGTACGTGAAAGAAGGTTTGGGCACGAGTTCGGGGTCGATTGGACGAAGTTGGGGCGTTTGACGAAAAGCTGGAAATTCCACAAGGGCACGCCTAAAATTCCACACGGCCGTGTGACTTGGCCGTGAGACACCAATTTGCACGGGCAAGCCACACTGGCCGTGTAGGGGACCCCTTGTGGTCGTGTGGAAAGTCCAGGGAGCTCACCCGGCCAGCCTAGAAATCCACACGGCCGTGTGTCTCTGGCCGTGCAGCATGCCTGAAGACCCATTAAGTGAAACGCCGCGTTTTCGCATCCATACGGGCAGACTGGAAAGCCACACGACCGTGTGGCCTGGCCGTGTGGTCGGGAAATTCTGGGTTTTAACCCAATTTCGAGCCAAATGAGAGGGAATCGAGTTTTTGAGCAAGAAACAGAGCCCTAGAGAGAGAAAGTGCGAAGAACACATCCTAGAAGTGATTTTGGAGCTGGGTTTCATCAATCGAGCTTGGAGATCATCATAGGAGTGAAGATCATCATCCCAGAGCAGATTTTCCTCATCTTTATTAGTATAACTACTCTGATTTCTGTTTTCCTCTCTCTCTCTATGGTGTAGAACCTTCTCTCACTTGGGTATGAAGAACCCTAGTTCCATGTGTTAGGGATCTTGATTGTAATGAATTGAGATTGCAGTACTGATTGATTATAATCGATTGATGCATGATTCATTGAGTCAATTGAAGTCTGATCAACTTTTCTTGATTTCTGCTGCAACTTGAGATAGATAGAATCTGATTAGGTTGTTGGAGCTTCATCAATCGGTAGAGGTAGATTGATTATACGAGAGTTAATCGATTTACTGCTTTGTACTGGAATCCAATTCCAGTAGTGGAGTTCTGCGTTCGTAGCCTCAGCTTTCTATCCTGGTGAAGACTAGTCGTCTGCCGGGTAGTTGGACTGAGAGGGCTTGGTCAGCTTAAGATATTCCAAGCTACTATCGGATCTTCCGCAGTTTAATCAACTAGTTAATCAACCCAGGGTAATTACAATTGTGACCTAACTAAGGAGCTAGGGGGACTCATTCCCTAGTGACTCTTCCCTTGATTTAGAAAACCGAACCATTTCCTGCTTTCTTACTGCTTTTAGTTAAAATCACAATCACTCGACTTAGTTTTCTAGATAATAGATATTCACGGAGTAGGAAGTAGATCTAGACCTCGGGTTGACAAATAGAGCTTGCCTGTTACTGCATTTCCGGACTGCGATTACACTTGGTCGCAGTTTGGTGTTGTGTTTTTGGCGTGTCATGTGTGATCTCTTAACATTAGTTCATTTGGTTGATCTTCTAGGTTGATTTTTAGTTGATTAAAGATAAATAGCTATACTTTTTGTTGTTTTTGTTATGATAGTCCTTTTCAGTATCATCATTTTTCTGATTTGAAATGTTAGTGTGATTAGTTTTCAGTAAACAAAGACTATTCTGATTAGTGTTAACATAGGGAATAGCTTCAATCATACCACTTTTACACAAAATTTATATGTAAGAGCCGAGATCATTGGCGAATTGAACTATTCAAGCTATAATGCTGATCTTAAACATATAAAACATAGTTTCTTTTGAGTGAAATAACCTCATTATTGCAGATAAGTTTTACAATATGATGTTTCGTGATAGTGGTCACTTGCTTCCAGATTTAAAAGTGGGGTTCTAATTACTACAATATAAAAAGCATGAGTGATAGCGATAATTGGAGCAGATACAAGATGGTTTGATATCCTTCTCTTCAAGGAATAAATACATGGTGAGCATATGTTATCATGGGAAGGATAAACCGAACTCTTTGTGTTTGTAATATAGCATGTTGATATATACGCATGTCTAGACCCGATCGATTGGGCATATCTACCAGGAATTTATTGACGGGATTTTTGCTCATCAAAACCGCGTGACAAGTAAGCTCCCTCCTTAATTCTTATATTTATCTTAATCTGCACATGCACACCCTCATAGGAAACATGTACAGAATTGTAATTTAGGTGCTTAATTAGTGTTGTTTCCATAAGATTGTATTATCTGAGGTGTTGTTTTAGAATTGTGAATAGTGATTGTATCTCCTCTAAGAAATTGTCAACTTAAGTTATTAAAGAGGCTAACCTGAGCTTCCTCTTTAATTTAGAGGGTAAGAAAGCAATGACCCACGTCAAATTGATTGGGGTTGACAATAGAAATAGAACAGGTCTCTTAGGAGTTGATACTATCACTGTACTATAAAACTATAGAAAAGATATTAGGGACGAGACAATAACTCTATTTATCTATCACTATATAGAAATAATGTCTAATAAATATGGGGTCTAGCCTGATCTTTTATGAAGTAAAATAAAAAACGACTCTGGACCTTTTTCCCCTTGCCCACCGCGGGAGCCTGGAACCAACCTTGTTCATCTAGGGTTTAGATAATTTGATAGATCTCCTTCATCCTAGCCGCCGCAAACAAATATAACCCATCTCATCATTTTCCTCCTCTCCCACCGATGTCGCCGGCAACAATTGCTTTTGCCTCCCTGATCCCTCCTCCACAGTTTCTTACCAATCAGATCAACGGAGAGAAACAGAGACTCGAACCCGTCGACGATGGTGATTAAGGTTCTTCAGTTTGTCGATCCAGAATGATTCAAGGCTGAAGTCCGCGATTGAGCTAGCGGCTGCTGTTCCGTCATGCACAAATATGGTTTCCTAAAATCAATGGAAGGTGGAATCAATTGAAACAAAACCCTAAATCAAAAACTTTTCTTCTGGGTTTCTCGAATTTGAATCGAAACAAAATCCCCTCCATTCGTTGTCGATGATAAGAGGCGTTAGTTTGGAGTGGATCTGGGACACACAAATACGAAACAAAATCTACTCCCATTCGACCACTGATCTTCCTTCTCTCTCTAGCTTTCGCCTTTTCTCCACTCGATTAACCTTTTTCCTCACACACAAACACCTTTCTTTGGTTGAATGGCAGATCGAGACTTGAGGGAAATTGAGACTGAGGTTTGCAGGCAAGAGCAGTGGGCGAGAGAATCAAATCCTTGTTGCCGCTCCGATCCATTCCTCATCCTCCTTCGAGTTCGCCGTCGCCGACTATGATGGCGGAGGAAGAAACGAGAAAGGGGAACAGGGGATGGGAGGGTTCTGCGAGGAAGATAACATTTATTTATTTGATTTTTCATTTAATTATAATAAGAAAATATCCAGTTTTGTATTTTTTATGAAAAAATGCCACATCATTCATAAACGTTAGTCTAGTCAGCATTCTCGATATTTCCGTTAAAGTTATAGACGGAATGACTATTTTAGTGTATCTTTTAAATTTTAGCTATTATTAAAATTATTGCTATCAAGCATATTTTGTCTTATATTTAAAACTACTGATATTATTACTACATAAAATTTTTTCCATAAATAGACATAAACTAAAATAATCTTTCTGTCGGCCAACCGAAAAATAAACTACGGGCCTCTTTTTAAAGCAACACGAGCATTGCATACGTTAAGGCAAAGCCAGAAAATAACTTTACTCACACAATAAAAACTCCCCCACCGACATCAAATCCATAGGACCGGCCATGGCCCTAAATTCCGCCGGCGAAATACCCGCCGCCGCCGCCATCTTCCACGCCTTCCTCGCAACCCTCCCAGTCTCCATCATCCTCGTACTAAGGCTGAAGAAGAAAAAACGCGTCCCCGCCGCCTCCGAGCTCCCGCCGCTCCCTCCAAGCCCGCCATCGTGGCCGCTGATCGGCAACCTCCCCGAGGTAATGTTCCACACCAAGCCTTTTTTCCGGTGGGTCCACGACGTGATGAAAGAAATGAAAACCGACATCTGCCTCATCCGACTCCCCGGCGGCGCCACCATAGTCCCCGTCCTCGACCCCGCCATCGCCAGGGAGATGCTGAGGAAGCACGACGCCAGCTTCGCCGACCGCCCCACTTCCCTCGGCAGCCACGTCATCAGCGGCGGCTACCTGACCGCCGTGCTGGGCCCTCACAACGACCAGTGGCGCAAAATGCGGAAGGTGCTTACCTCCGAGATCGTCTCCCCGGCCCGGCACAGGTGGCTCCACGACAAACGAGCCGAGGAGGCCGACAACCTCGTCTTCTACGTCCACAGACATTGCGTGGCCGGGAAGAGCGTCGACCTCAGGGTCGCCACGCAGCATTATTGCGGCAACGTCATGAGGAAGATGCTCTTTGGCCGCAGGTATACTATGTTATAAACAAGCTGGTATCAATAACTCACACAGTTTATTCTTTATTATTAATGTATCTTATGCCATTCTTTTACATATTCAATCATAATAATACGAGCTAACATGTTGCCAACAGAAATTGATCTAGTAGTAATAACACTAGTGTTGAATCTCAAAGTCACATGTTCAAATATCTTTAGTAGATCCGATTATAAAAATCGACATATGTCGCCCTTATTTATTATATATAAAAAAACGAGCTAATTTGGCAAATTATCTAACGCTACCCACAATTCTCCAGATTCTTTGGAAATCCCACCTCCGACGGCGGGCCTGGGCCGACGGAAGTGGAGCACTTGGAGGCGGTGTTCACGGCGTTGAAAAACTTGTACTGGTCGTCCATATCGGATTACTTCCCGGGGCTGAGGGGATGGAACTTTGACGGAAAGGAGAAGATCGTCAAGGAAGCGGATAAAGCCATCAAAGCTCCCCAAAACCCTATTATCGACGAGAGGATTCGGCAGTGGAGAAGCGGGGAGAGGAAGGAGATCGATGACCTCATTGACGTCTTCGTCACTCTCAAGGATGACGACGGGAAACCCTTGCTTACTGCTCAAGAAATCAAGTGCCAGGCTGCGGTAATAATAAATACTAATATTACTATGACTTAAGGCGGAAATTTGTTCTAGCTAATGGGTGCATTGTATGGATGTGGCAGGAAATAATGATGGCGGTGATAGACAACCCATCGAATGCGGTGGAGTGGACGATGGCAGAGCTTATCAACCAACCGGATTTGATGAGAAAGGCTACGGACGAAATCGATCGAGTTGTTGGGAAAGATTCGCCGCGACTCGTCCAGGAATCGGACATAGAAAAACTGAACTACGTGAAGGCGTGCATCAGGGAAGCGTTTCGGCTGCACCCGGTGTTTCCGTTTAACGTCCCCCATGTGTCCACCCACGATACCGTCGTGGCTGGCTACCTCATACCGAAGGGCAGTCACGCCCTGCTAAGCCGGTATGGCCTCGGTCGAAACCCGAAGGTGTGGACCGACCCGCTCAGATTCGACCCTGAGCGCCACATGGGTGGTGATGATGGAGAGGTGGTTCTCACTGAGCACGACCTTAGGTTTATATCGTTTAGCACTGGGAGGCGTGGTTGTGTGGGGACGGTGCTCGGGACCTGCATGGCCACCATGTTGCTAGCCAGACTGCTCCAGTGCTTCACGTGGACTGCTCCGTCGGGGGGCGTTGATCTTGCTGAAGCTGAGAACGAGCTCTCCCTTGCCACGCCCCTCCTAGCGTTTCCTGAGCCGCGCTTGGCTCCCCACCTATACCCTGAAACAAATTAAGAACGAGTCTGATCATTGGTTACAATTTTTGCTTCTTCGTTGAATCAGTTACCATTTTTATTTTTTGTTAGTTTATTGTATTTTTATTAAGTTTCATTTGTAACACTCTGACTTTTGAGTTATCTACTGCTTGAGAGCTTGAATGAGAGAATTGAATCCCAAGCTGGCTACTGACACTCACATCCTTCCTTGTTGGAAACCACCATACCACACCATTAATTGGTATGTTGGAGACCATAGCACTTCTTGACCATCCTTCACTAATTCCTCACAGACAAATTCTATCTGCAACTGCAATAATCCATTATCCTGTCCGAACCATGAGCTGTCCGCCATGTGGTAGCTTTTGTTTCCTTTGTCTCACACTACAGTACGTGTACACAAACAAGCATATCCTAGTATCTAACGAAAATCATGTATCGATAATTGAGACCAATCAGAGAATTTCGTCATCTCAATATCTGTATATATCTTCATTCCTGTCCTACTCACTAATACTCAAAGACCCCCACCTCTTTTTACCCTGTTCTAACTTCCACCGTCACCACAACCACCAACATGAAACATGGACGGAACAAGCATAGATGTAGAGAGAGGAAAAGTAGCCGTGTCTAGTGGCGGTGGCAGAAATTTTATATAGGAATTTTATATAGGAGTATGTTGTTTCAAAAATTAAATGATTACATAATTCTTAAATAAAAAAATCTAACTAGTACAAGTTACAATAAAAGTACACGATGTGTTTGTATATTCTGAAATTGTTATAAAATACACTTGGTGTTTACACTGCTCAACAAATCTCTTCTAATCTTACTATACAATCATTTATGAACCGACCACTTATTCGATTTCGAAACTTGTTCTTTAAATTAGTATCCCAAAACTGAAAATATTATTTCAAACACTTGCAATTGAAATCGGTAAAATCAATAGCTTTGAAAATCCAGTAATCGAATGGATATGATAGAATGGAGGGAATAAGGGTAGCCCGTAATTGGGTTAATAGTTAGATTTTGAAAATAATTGGTGGAAAGGAATAGTATTTTTACTATTAAACTTGTATTTAAAATATGACAACAATTGAGTTGTAGTCTAATGAAAAACATGTTTACTATAGTAACGCCTCCGCCCCTGGGTGTCTCAATCGAGTGACTACTAAGATCGGGTACTCCACCGGAATTAGGAGTGGCGGACGGCGAGGGCTTGTCTAAGCTCTCACCTTAGTGACGATTATGAGGTCGAAAAGAATAGATATACTTAAAGCCCAGCGGGAAGGATTGAAGTCGATCGTGCTCACGTCTAACGGAAGCTAAGTAGTACTCAAGGTTGAAGTCGAGCATGGAAATAGGCGAGGGAACTGGCCAAGGTTCCTTTACCGGCCTTCGACTTTTGGGGTTTACGTAATTAATGGGTTGGCCTAATATGGAGCGTGGAAGATGATGATGGAGCTCCAGTTGATCACGAGATCAACAAAGTAGTTGCAGCCTGATGGCCTTGTTGTGGAAGAAAGTACTCTAATGAAATACGAAGAACAGGGTCAGCAAAAGGGAAAGAAAAATGATGACGTAAAGATGCAGAGGATGAAGGCAACGCACCGTTTCGTTTTGCTTTGTCTTTACTGTACAGACTTTACACGTGTATAGAGCATATTGGTAGATAGCATAAAGTAAAACTAACGGCTAGGTAGATCCCCTTTTTCGTTGTTTTAGCTCTATAAACTGTATATATTCTCTGCTCAATGGAAATCTCAGTATGATCAATTTCCCCAAATCTTCTCACTTCTGGAAATCTTCTTATGGTATCAGAGCGCTGCTCATGTCACTAAGATCTGTTTTCATCCTCTTTCGTTTTTCTTTCCATTTCTCGTTTCATCTTTGAGCTCTGGTTTCAGCAACAATGGCGGATGGAACCAGCTCACCCACTGCAGAACAGAAATCTGAATCGACTGATAAATCCAAGGCGATAATGAACTCATATGAGGATCCTTACCTCAATCTTTACCATCTCCCACCTCAGGATGGTGCTCTACACACCATCATCGCCATCAAGATCGTTGATGGCAACTATCACACCTGGAGTGAAGTTATGTTGTTGGCTCTAGAGACGAAGAACAAAACCCAATTCATTAATGGTCGTATCCCAGTTTCTCAGGTAACAGATCCTCACTATCAATCTTGGGCTCGTTGCAGTGGCACTATTCGTTGCTGGATTTAAAACTCTCTGTCAGACAATATAGCGAGTAGTGTCATGAGGCAAGGATTAGCAAAGGATGTCTGGGATAAGTAAAAAATCGATTTAGTCAGGAAGACAACATCAGGGTTTATGATCTCAAGGGTTAGTTGGCGAAATGTGTTCATGGTGATCAGTATGTGAGTCAATACTTCACTCATATTATAGTGTTATGGGAAGAGTATAAGAGATACAGACCTATACCTGTTTGTCCTTGTAATCCTCGACCATATGAGACACAGGAGAGATATTAGGAGAATGACTTTGTCATCAACTTCCCTCAAGGACTAAACCCTGTATACCAGTCAGCATGTTCCTTCAAGGACTAAACCATGTATACACAGGTCTTAATGATGCCCATTCCGCCTCATATTGACAGTTTTCAAGCAGATCTTACAACTTGAACGTCAGTTGAAGGTCATGAATATAAGTTCAGGTCTTGAAACCCTTGCCCTTGTAGCTGGTGCTTCCCGTGGCAATCAATATAGGGGTAAGGGATAACCCCCAAAAAAGTTAAATACCAACAAGTTTATTTGTCTCAGAATGTATAATCTATGTCTCCATTAGGCTCTTTACAAACAAATAAAGTACTCTAAAAAACTAGAATGGCAAACAGTTTCATTTGTCTCTAAAAGTAAATAAAGGAGCAAATATAGTTGTCTAAAAAACTAGAATGATAAACAATTACATTTGTCTCTAAAATAAAATAAAGGAGCAACTTACGGGGTTTTAATAACAGAATTTGCATACAATAAATTTGCATGTAATTCCTTAATCTGTAGTAGATATTATTTGTTTCTACATTTGCGTCTAAAAGGAATTAGAGACAAAGGCGTCCGATGCAAATAACATATCTGCTCAATAGATATACATAAACAAATAAATGTCATTTAGAAGCAAATAACCTCTGTCTCTAAAGCCTAGTTTTGTTGTAGTGATGGGAAGAAGGTTTGTTCCTACTACAAGAAAGATGGATATCTAATCAAGGATTGCTTCAATTTAAAGAACAAGAAGGCAAGGGAAGCTTCAGAAGGTGCTTTTGCTGGTTCAGTAGAAAGTTCTCTTGGAATGGAGAACTCTTCTAGTTCTAATGACAGCAAAGGACAGACTGGGTTGGAGAACATTTTCACACAGGATCAGATGGAAAGGCTCAATCTGCTGCTATTTAAGTCACCCTCTCCATCACCATCACCTCCTAGCTCTCCATTTGTGCACACTGCAAATGCGGTTACCAAAGCTGTGTCTTCACATCGATCACCTACCTCTCCCTATTTGCCTTCAAGTTCAGGTACTACTGTACTTTCATCCTTGATAGCTTCTTCTGGAAAACCCTTGTGGGTATTAGATACTGGTGCTACAAACCATATCATCTGTAGTCCAAGTATTATAGTAAATACAGAACAGTAGATGAAGTTTTTGTTACTTTACCAACTGGTGAACAGGTAAAGGCCACACACATAGGCATTGTTCAACTTCCTGGTGGCTTGTTTCTTTCACAAGTCCTTTTTATTCCAATTTTTAGCTATAACTTAGTATATGTCAGCAAGTTAACCAAACAAAACCCTGTCTCACTTACCTTTCAATCCTTTTACTGTGTCATTCAGGACCTTATCACACATAAGAGGATTGATTTAGCCCAAGTGGATAGAGGACTCTACCTTTACACCAAGACACCAAGTTCCAACTCTCCTGTCCAGTGTCTTGCAGCCACCACTCACAATTTCCAGTCACAACCTTTTAATCTCTGGCATGCCAGATTAGACCACCCTCATGTCTCTAGACTTCAAGCTATTAGTAAACAGTTTTCAGATGTAATAGCTTCTAAACATATACACTATGATGTGTGTCACTTAGCCAAACAGAAAAGGCTTCCATTTCCTTCCAGTACCTCTATCATTCCTGTCCTTTTTGGTTTGATTCATGTTGACATTTGGGGGCTATTGAATACAATTTCCTATAATGGTTTCGGTTATTTTTTAAATATTATTGATGATCACTCTAGATATGTGTGGACCTTCCTTATGAAACATAAGGATGAAGCTAGACCTCTCTTGCAAACCTTTTGTTCTATGGTTAAAAACCAGTTTGGTAAATCTATGCAAATTATTCGAACTGACCAAGGTCAACGTGTTTCACATGAATGAATTCTATCAAACACATGGAATCATTCATCAAATGAGTGTAGTTTACATTCCTCAAAAGAATGGGAGGGTTGAAAGGAAGCATAAACACCTCCTGAATGTGGTATGGGCTCTCAAGTTTCAATTTGACCGCCCTCTTTTGTACTGGAGTAATTTCATCCTTCATGCAACGTACTTAATTAATAGGAATCTCACTCCTATTATGCACAACAAAACTCCCTTTGAGGTCTTGCATCAACTTCCTCCAGACTATGCCAATTTGAAAGTGTTTGGATGTTTGGCTTATGCAGCCACATCAGGAAAACCTAGAACTAAGTTTGACCCTAGAGCCAAGCAATGTATTTTTCTGGGTGTACCTGCAGGTATTAAAGGATTCAAGCTTCTTGATCTCAACACCAAACAGGTGTTCATTTCTCGTGATGTAGTGTTCTATGAACACTTTCTCCCTTACAAAAATCATGAATCACAACCTCCCACTACTCCTCCTGATTTTCCCTCTCCTTCACAATTTCCTTTCTTTTCTCATTCCTCTGACTTTGAGACTTCCTTTGTTCCTCAGTCTGGGGGGGGGGGGGGAGCTCAACCCCCATTCCACAATCACAACCTATTGAACCCATTGAAGTCTCATCTCCGGAGTCATATGATTCTCCTTTTTCTTCACCCATTTCATCTCCTGCTTACCCTCTATCTCAATTCACTTTCTCGCCTTCTCCTTCTCCCCATGCAGATCCACCTTTTTCTTTTAGAAGTCTACCAAAATTTCTAAGCCTCCAGAGTGGCATACTGATTATGAAGTGGAATATCCAACACATAAAAGTGTTGCCTATTCACATTTGCAACCAAATCTTTCAAAATTTGTGAATTCCCTGACCACTCATGGTGTACCAAGAACTTATATTGAAACTTCTGAACATCCAGAATGGAATGAAGCTGTGAAAGAAGAAGTACATGCATTACTTGAAAATGGAACCTGGAAAATCACAGACTTACCAGAAGGTAAGCATGATATAGGTTACAAGTGGGTATTTAGATTAAAGCTGAAGTCTGATGGCACAATTGACAGATACAAAGCTAGTTAGTTGCTAAAGGGTATACACAGGTGTATGGAATTGATTATTGCGGTACTTTTTCACCTATAGCAAAGATGGCTTCAGTTAAGATGTTATTATTAGTAGCTGCAGTCAAAGGATGGCATTTGCATCAAATGGATGTTACTAATGCATTTCTCAATGGAGATTTGTCTGAGGAAGTTTACATGGTGTTACCACCAGGTCTGGATTCAAGTGGGAAATACAAAGGGAAAGTGTGTAAACTGAGAAAGTCTTTGTATGGTTTGAAGCAGTCCAGCAGGAAGTGGTATGTTAAGTTGACAGAAACTTTGATCAAACATGGCTTAAAGCAATCTCCCTGTGATTACTCAATCTTTACTTCTACAGTTTTGAATGAGTTGGGTGTTTTAATAGTCTATGTTGATGACATTGTGCTATGGAGCATTAGGTTGGAAGCAATCAAAGATGTTAAAAATATGTTGCATGCTGATTTTAGGATGAAGGATCTGGGAGAATTGAGTTATTTCCTTGGACTAGAGGTAACTCGTGGGAAGCAGGTTATCATAGTGTCTCAAAGGAAATACTGTTTGGATGTCCTGCCTGAGTCAAGTTTTGAAAGCTGCAAACCTGCTCCCACTCCTATCTTCAACAAGGAGGTTTTGTCTTCCTCTGGAGGTGAACTTCTTACTGACATCAGTGAGTACATGCATCTTGTGGGGCAATTGCAATACCTGACCACCACAAGACCTGACATCACATTTGCTGTTCAATAGCTCTATCATTACCAAGATAGTCCCACCACATCACATCTCAGAGCTCTGCATCATGTGTTGAGATACTTGAAAGGTTCACCTGGTCAAGGGATTGCTATATTCTAAAGATGCAGAACTTCCGTTGAAAGGTTACAGTGATAGTGATTGGGTTACATGTCCAGATTCAAGGAAATCGATTACAGGCTACTGCACATTCCTTGGAAATGGATTGTTAAGTTGGAAAAGCAAGAAACAATCTACTGTATCTCGTTCATCATCAGAGGCAGAGTACAGGGCACTAGCTAGCCTAAGTTGTGAGGTGCAGTGGTTGATCAGATTGCTTGCAGATTTTGGAGTTTCACATGATCAAACAGTACCAATCTATTGCGACAATTAGTCTGCAATCCACATTGTAGAGAATCAAATTTTTTACGAAAGAACAAAGCACATAGAGGTGGATTACCATGTAATTAGAGAAAGAGTTCAGTCTGGTATGATCACTCTTCACTACATTCCTACAGAATTTTAGGTGGCAGACATATTTAAAAAAAGATTATCAAACGACCGATTCATCATGTTGTTGTCCAAGATGGGAATATACAATCTATACTCCCCAGCTTGTGGGAGCGTAACAAGGAGCGTGGAAGATGATGGAGCTCCAGTTGATCATGAGATCAACAAAGTAGTTGCAGCCTGCTGGCCTTGTTGTGGAAGAAAGTACTCTGATGAAATACGAAAAACAGGGTCAGCAAAAGCGAAAGAAAAACGATGACGTAATGATGCAGAGAATGAAGGCAACACACCGTTTCGTTTTGCTTTGTTTTTACTATACAGACTTTACAAGTGTATAGAGCATATTGGTAGATAGCATAAAGTAAAACAAACGGCTAGGTGGATCCCCTTTTTCGTTGTTTTAGCTCTGTAAACTGTATATATTCTCTGCTCAATGGAAAGCTCAGTATGAGCAATTTCCCCAAATCTTCTCACTTCTGGAAATCTTCTTATGGCCTTGGATGGCGTCAGTAGCAAGTTTGAGTTGAGAATACTAGCAGGCTAATTAAGGGGCTAGTTAGTATTTGCTTTAATTATCTAATTACGTCAGTTAATTAAGTCACGCTAATATGTTATATGCGTAATTTCTCCTTGAGTTTATTTATCTTCAGTAAGCATGACATTGCAGTTTAGTATGAATCTAATGTTAAAGCAAAGTTATGTTTTAATAGTGTTTATGGACTTACGTTTCAAGTTATCAAGCAAGTACATGCTTCTATTACTCGCTTAACTAGATAAGCACGCGCTACCTCCTCATTGTGTGGAAGTTATCGTGTTATATTACCATACTCCTTCAGATAAGAAGGTCATGTTTGCAAGTATGTTGGTATCGGCCGTCAGTTGCTGCAGAATGCATGCGGTTACCTTTTACTTCCCATAAGGTGGAAAAGTCACGTTCACATTATCAAGCTTTTCACGTTTGTCACATTTTGGTGGCCGGACGGTTACGCTAGTTAAGAAGAGTTTGAGAGCCGTTTCATAAGTAAAATTCTATAGAATTTATACTTATCTTGTAATGAGCATTACACGAGCATATTTATTTATTCAAATATGTTACTATGAGTTTTTCCCCCATTAAAGCATGTCATCATCACTTCCGACTCCCCTTGGTCTCGTAAAGAATTCCATCCTTGGGATTAGGGGTGGCAGTCGGTCGGTTTTGGTTTAACCGAAACTCGATTTCTCAGTTATCGGTTAAATTGATCCGTCCCCTATGTCTGCCGACGACCGACCATGAAAGGAGTCACGGTTAGCTGACCACCAACCGATCGGTTTTAGGTTATGGTTCGGTTTAACCGTGGTAACCGCAACAAATCATTCCTCCTCCCTCTCCGTTCATGAGATCTATTTCTCTACCCTCACAACTTCCATCAATCTACACGGATCTCGCTGAAAATAGCTCCACCCCATCACTCTGTCGAACGAGGCCTATGTTTTCCTCGCAGCTCCACCGATGCTCGCCATCTCCCCAGCCGAAGCAGAGGATGATGAAGAAGACAGGTTTTTAGCGGGGTGAGAGACGCGGGATCGGAGTTTGGAGTTGGCGTGGTGGTGGATTGATCTCATGGCGTGATTCCACCGGCACACCCCTTGGTCTTTGAGCACCTCCACTGCGCCTATGCTAGCCGCCACCATCCAGGCTTTGCTCGCCGCCGCCGCTGAACTCATATTTAGGGATGGCAGTCGGAGGTGAGGCGCGGTGTCGGGCGGCGCGAGATCGGGGAGATGGGGGGAGGGACTTCGAACTAGTTTATTTGATTTGGGGGTGAAGGGTTTTCTGCGATTTTGGGATGGGGAGAAGGGGATTTTCGGTCAGGGTCGGTTATCCGGTTAGCCGCTGATAGACCAATAATTACACATGTTTTTACCCCTATTCTTGAGCCGTTTGAGATGTTGATTCTCGTGTTTTAGGACGATTTCACGCTAGGTTGTTCTTGGTTGTGATATTTCAGGTCCTAGTACGTGAATGAAGGTTTAGGAACAAGTTCGGGGTCAATTGGACGAAGTTTGGACGTTTGGCGAGAAGCTGGGAAGCCACACGGGCACCATTGTACCTCACACGGCCGTGTAGGGGCCCCTTGTGGCCGTGGAAGGGCTCGGTAAAAGCCACACGGGCAGCCTGGGGAGCCACAAGGCCGTGTGGCCTCTGCCCGTGCAGCTTGCCTGGTTGCCCACTAATCGAAACGCCGCGTTTGGACACTCACACGGGCAGCTGGGAAAGTCACACGGCCGTGTGAGTCGGGAATTTCTGGTTTTAAGCCAATTTCGAGCCAAAGGAGAGGGAGAGCTGGGTTTTGGTTCCCAAACACCCAAGGGACGAACCCTAGAGAGAGAGAGAGAGCGACTTGGGAACATTCTTGGAGCTATTTTGGAGGATTTCTTCGCCACTGAAGCTCGGGAATCAAGCTTGGAGATGGAGATTGAAGATCAAGATCAGATTTCTGCAGTCTCTCTCTTCTCTATGGAGTAACTTCCCTTCACTTAGGTTTTGAGGAACCCTAGTTCCATGTGTTAGGATCTTTCTTATATGAAGTTTTGGATGCTATATTGTTTGTTTATAATCGATTGAGGCATGATTTATAGAGTCAATTGAAGCCTGATCATCTTCTCTTGATTTCTGCTTTAACCTATGATAGATAGAATCTGATTAGGTTAAGAGAGCTTCCTTGATTGATAGTGGTGAATTGGTTGTGCGAGAGTCAATCAATTTACTGCTTTGTACTGGAATTCATTCTAGTAGTAGAGATCTGTGTGAATCGCCTTAGCAGTCTATCCCGGTGAAGGCTAGTCGCCTGCTGGGTATTTTGTCTAAGAGGGCTTGGTCAGCTTAAGAGATTCCAAGCTAATTTAGGATCTTCCGCAGTTTAATCAACAGTAGATCTACCAAAGGTAATTGCAACTTGGACCTAATTGAGGAGCTAGGGGGAATCATACCTAAGTGAGTTCCCAACTTGTAATTAGTAGAGTAGTTTAGTAAATCAATCATTAATCTATTGCTAGATAATGAACTGAAGTTGAGTAATAGTAACTCTAGAGACCCGTGGATTCGATATTTATTACTTGTGCCACTATACTGCAGTCCCTTTCATTGGTTACACTTGGCCATTGTTAGGTGTTGTGTCGTAGCGTGTCAAGTGTTTGGCGCCGTTGCCGGGGACTTTCTAGATTATTAGGAAAGGCAAAAGTTTGTTACTTTAGCGTTTTTCTTTTCTTTTCCACACTTGCTTTTCACTTGGGTGTTTTTTGTTTTTGTTGGTGCAGATCTGAATCATGGATCCTCATGGCTTCTCCAACCATTGGGGGTATCCACCACCATCCGATTGGTATTAACCCAAGACTCCCTGGAGCAATCAAGGAGGAGAAGACTATGGATTCGGGTTCCAATACCAACCCCCTTACTACGGAGAACAATCAGACCCTTGGGCATATCAAGAACAACCTACTTATACAGAAGAATTCCTCCCACAACTAGAAGGGCCATCAGATCTTGATTTAGCCACAGTCCTCACGGGCCATCCGGCAGAGCCATGCTACACTCCACAGCTAGATCCAAACTATCGCTAGAGGCTTCTCGTGGAGCAGGTTGCTCGAGTACCTGAGAGATGCTTTCCCAAGATGGATCCTCATATCCAGGCCATGGCCCAAACTGACTTCTCCTTTCCCCGTGAAACAAAGGATACCCTTCGGAGCATAAAGAAGCACATAGAGGTCATTGAGAAAGCTTGTGCACAGTTTTCTCAAGACAACCTTCATGCTGCCATACAAGTAGAGGAGGAGGAAGAAGAAGGCAATCATGAGGATGTTGAGGAGCGTACAGAAGTTGTCACGGAAAGCTCCCATGATAATCGTGATCAAGTGTATCCTCTGGTGGTAGATTACAACTGTCCCCATTTCCGCTCTGATATGCTGGGCCCGAGCGATGAGATGCAAGATGATCTCATTGAAGAAATTACATGGCGACTTGCTCTCCAATCTGTGCTAGAAGAAGAAGAGCGAGAAAGGGTGAGGGAAGAAGTTGTGGAGGATGAGGAAGAAAGTAAAGAAGAGGAAGTTCTTGATCTTTTCCAAGGGGAGAGGCCACATTCTGATGAAGGCAGGGGGGTTGAAGAAGCAAGTGGTGTACAGGCTGAGGATGAAGTTGAGGTGGAAGAGGCTTGCACCGGCCCTATAATACAAGTAATATCCCCACCAAACTTCGAGGAACTGCTTATTAAGGACCCATTTGCAGTGCCTCTTTGTCAGACCAAGGCCACATCGACATCGGTTCCTCTTGGTGGATGCGATGGTGGTCAATCAATGCGGTCATATCTAGTTTGGGTCAATGAGACGAGAGAAGAGAAGAAGCGGTCTCGAGGGTGGAGACGCTATCTGCATCAAGTGCACAAGCTTCCATCACTTGTCATACTACATGCTCGTGACTTGAGACTCCACCTCATCAACGAGAACCTCAACTTCAAGGAGGTTTTGGGGTGGACCGAAACTTAGGAGCCATCGTCTGGCTCACGACGTGAAAGAAACGCTTGTTGGGAGGCAACCCAACCAGTCGGTTTGCATTTCTTTCTCTATTTCTCCTCGGTTGATTCAGTTTTGTTATTTGATTTTAGAGTCAATAACTCAACCTTTGTGAGATTTTGTATGGTGTTTGTGTTCCGACTACTCTCTCCTCCTGGAATGCACCGCCTGCCTCGTCCACCATCATTCACCCTTGATCTGGTAACTTCGTTCTACCCTCCTTATATTTCCTCCATTGAGGACAATGTCGTGCTTAAGTGTGGGGGGGATGTTCAATTATGTATGCGGGTGAATGTTTGGCTGTTTGTGTGCTTGGAGCCTAGTCCACTGTCCAAATTTTTAAATTTGAGGGCTCCAAGTACTGTTCCCTGCAAAATCCTGCTCAGTATGCTTTGAATTGACAGTCTCTATAGTAATGTGCAACCTAGGGAGGTAGTGTAGAACTATGGAGGATGTTGAAGTATAAGATTTTTCCTATCTGTCTCTCTGCTGTGCCGGTTGATTTTTTGAACTATTGGATTTAGGACCGTTGATTCATGTGGTATTGATGACTCCTCTTATGTTGTGTTGTGGGCTCGTGTATCGAAAAGGGTGCTCAAGTGTGAAATGAAAAAAAGCAGTGGGTCCTCCATGTCAAAAATTTGAAATTCTAAGACATGGGGTAAGCCCAACGTGTGCGGCACCGTTCATTGCACAAAATCGGGGTTTGGAAGAGATTTTAGTGATCCTTGGTGGGGTAGGCCTAAAAGGTGAAGCTAAGTTGTCTCTAGTACAAGTAAAATTTCCACCCGTTGAACGGTTTGCCTACTTGAGGATGTATTTTTAAGGGCACGGATAGAGCTTCCGACCCCCCTTAATTCCATTGACCCTCCACACGAGTTGAGGAAAAGGAGTTAAAAGAAGTACTCTAGCGAGCGCCAGATGTACAGAAATTGCTCTTGCTCGACCAATAAGGGTCGACCGTGCAAAAGACTGCAGTTGGAACCCCCACCAAGTGAATAAAAAGAAAAAAAAAGTAAAATGAAAGTGAAAAAGGGGTTCCAACGGTGAAATGAAGTGAAAGAGCACCACAGTACAACGAGTCCTTGGTTGTGAATGATATGAGTCCCTTTATCCATGAACTGACTGTCTTACTTCTACTTCTTCTCATGATCCTAGCTTGAGTCTAGTACTCGCATTGAGAGAGATAGGGGACGTCTTAGAAGACCAGTTGACCTCGTAAGCTGCTTTATGATCTAGAAAATCCTCTACCGACGATCGGGGTTGTTTGTTGCTATAGAGGTCTGGAGAGCTGCATTGGTTTGAGTTAGGTTTGCTTGGGGACAAGCAAACGGCTAAGTGTGGGGGAGTTTGATAGACCAATAATTACACATGTTTTTACCCCTATTCTTGAGCCGTTTGAGATGTTGATTCTCTTGTTTTAGGCCGATTTCACGCTAGGTTGTTCTTGTTTGTGATATTTCAGGTCCTAGTACGTGAATGAAGGTTTAGGAACGAGTTCGGGGTCAATTGGACAAAGTTTGGACGTTTGGCGAGAAGCTGGGAAGCCACATGGGCACCATTGCACCTCACACGACCGTGTAGGGGCCCCTTGTGACCGTGTGAGGGCTCGGTAAAAGCCGCACGGGCAGCCTGGGGAGCCACACGGCCGTGTGGCCTCTGCCCGTGCAGCTTTCCTGGTTGCCCACTAATCGAAACGCCGCGTTTGGACACTCACACGGGCAGCTGGGAAAGTCACACGGCCGTGTGGCCTGGCCGTGTGAGTCGGGAATTTCTGGTTTTAAGCCAATTTCGAGCCAAAGGAGAGGGAGAGCTAGGTTTTGGTTCCCAAACACCCAAGGGACGAACCCTAGAGAGAGAGCGACTTGGGAACATTCTTGGAGCTATTTTGGAGGATTTCTTCACCATTGCAGGTCGGGAATCAAGCTTGGAGATAGAGATTGAAGATCAAGATCAGATTTTTGCAGTCTCTCTCTTCTCTATGGAGTAACTTCCCTTCACTTAGGTTTTGAGGAACCCTAGTTCCATGTGTTAGGATCTTATTTGTATGAAGTTTTGGATGCTATATTGTTTGATTATAATAACTTGAGGCATGATTTATAGAGTCAATTGAAGCCTGGTCATCTTCTATTGATTTCTGCTTTAACCTATGATAGATAGAATCTGATTAGGTTAAGAGAGCTTCCTTGATTGATAGTGGTGAATTGGTTGTGCGAGAGTCAATCAATTCACTGCTTTGTACTGGAATTCATTCCAGTAGTGGAGATCTGTGTGAATCGCCTTAGCAGTCTATCCCGGTGAAGGCTAGTCGCCTGCTGGGTATTTTGTCTAAGAGGGCTTGGTCAGCTTAAGAGATTCCAAGCTAATTTAGGATCTTCCGCAGTTTAATCAACAGTAGATCTACCAAAGGTAATTGCAACTTGGACCTAATTGAGGAGCTATGGGGAATCATACCTAAGTGAGTTCCCAACTTGTAATTAGTAGAGTAGTTAGTAGAGTAGTTTAGTAAATCAATAATTAATCTAGTTTGCTAGATAATGAACTGAAGCTGAGTAATAGTAACTCTAGAGACCCGTGGATTCGATATTTATTACTTGTGCCACTATACTGCAGTCCCTTTCATTGGTTACACTTGACCATTGTTAGGTGTTTTGTCGTAGCGTGTCAGCCGCGGTTAATCATTCCCCGTTATTCGGCTAGCCGAAACCCTCTGATGAGCATCCGAACACCAATCAAGATCGGTTTTTGCCGATTTTTGGTTATAACCAGCGGCTAACCGGCAACCGATTTACCGGCCCTTCTTGGGAGCAATTTGGTTTCCTCGGTTCTAACCACATTAATATCTTCGGAACTCAAATTCAAAAGTTACACAAAATAGACTAGTCAAACAAAATTGTTTCAGCCCTAAATAGCTAGTCCTAAACCCTAAAATAAACAACCTAGGCTAGGTTACCTAGCCCGATCCCAATAGAAAAAACCTACCTAGTTTCCTTTTATGTCATTACCTCTCATAAATAGTATTTCTTACGGCGGAAGAAGGGGGAATTCTGTAGTGCAGTCACGGCATCGGTGCCGTCATATTTTAATAACCGGTTAAGATGATTTGGTTAGGGATTTATTGGATGGGCCATTGGGTCTGGTTTACTTATTTAATTACTAAAACATAAATTAAAAAGCAAAAGCAAAGAAAGGCAGCCACGATTTCCTTTCTCTTCCACTCTGTTATTGATGCTTCCTCTGTGAAGCAATGCGCCAATTCCAAAGTCGAGTCGGCAGACCACCATCATCGTTGTTTATGTCTTATCAAAATCTCAAACCCTTCATCAGTGAAAATCACCACAGTAATCAGCTTCGTTGTAGCCGTCTGGTCATTGCCGAATCGTTTATGTCGCGAGGATTCACAATCAACATCGTCAGTCATTGCCGCCGATCGGCCATCACTACCTAGATCCCGAATCCCTCCAGTCAAATTCACCACCGTTATCAACCCTATTGACGCCGCCCGGTCATCCCCATCATCGTCTTTGTTCTACCAATCCACCACCATCATCGTTATTCCCATCACCACCCACATCCCGATCTTCGTTTTAACAGTCACCGATTCAATTTCCGTATCCAATTTCAATTTCCCAATTCGCCGCCGAGAAAGGTCGTCAGAGACTCAGAGTAGAATGGTTTTCAGTGACTTTTTTAGAGACTACGATGTTGTCGTGCTAGATAGTAGGAATAGTGTGTGATCAGATTGAGAAGAAGCAGATGACCCTTATGCCTGAACTGTGAATTCGACTTTTTTTTTTTGCCACCTACCCTTTCCGCCGGTGTTCAAGAGATACTGATTGCACTTCTATTTTCCTCGAAAATCTGTACGGCTGGGGCAAAATTATTTTGGAACGAGATGCAACTAAATAAATAAATAAATTTTTACGATTAATAGACAGGATTTTCCAATAAAGAATGTAAATATGAAACGGGTTCAACCAGGTTTACCCATTCTGGTTAAGTAATGGTTATTATCAATGGCCATCATTAAATACTGTGAATCCATCGGCTAAAAAGTAGGCTGCACTAATGCCGGCACGGCACTGCAGAATCTGCCCGGAAGAAGAAGAAGAAAATTCCTGTCGGCCAATAGTAAATTTATTACGGGCCCTCTTCCTAAAGCAACACGATCTGTCCCACCGACAGCAAACCCACAGGCCGGCAATGGGCCATGGCCCTAAACTGCGCCGGCGAAGTATCCGTCGCCACCGTTTAAATGAGCCAACCCAACTAATTAATTTCAACAAATTGGTTGGGAGATGAATCTTAGATTTTTTTTTAATATATTTGTGGTTCCAAATAATCACATCATTTATTAAAAATAACATCGTGGCCTCAACAATACAGCAAGTTGATAACAAGTCACACGAAGAAGAGTGAAGAATATAAGATCAGAGCAGTTGAAGCAACACTACAGCTAAAAGTGTAATGGAGAACATGGGAGAAAGTTAGGAAAACTTCACATGACAACTTCACAGAGGTTTCCTATAAGTATCCGACACAAAGGGAGATGTAACAACAACAAATTACACAAACAACCGTGTCTCATTTTATATTTTCCCTCGGTAACATAACTCTTAGTTGCCATTTGCGAATATTATATATCTTCGTTAGAACATTATCTGAAAAGACATGACTTGTAATAATGTCTTTTTAATTTCCAGAAATCAATACAATAGACATTTCCAACTCCGTTCGGTGGATATTTGACGATTGTCTTGGTTTACAAAAGTCATAGGTGCACCGATCAAATCAACACCTTCGAGTGGATATTTGACGGTCGTCTTGATTCCAGCAGTCAATGGTGCATCCGATCAAACGACACTACAAAAGTTTCCACCACGAAACAATCAAATCAACATCGCCGGAAACAAATTCGGCACTAGCAGTGGATATTTGGTTTTGTGCGAAACAGCCTGCCTCCAAGCTCCCGCCAACCGCCAATCCATCCAAACATCGCATCACAAGCCAAAGTTGCATGGATAGTTAGTAAAATACGGTAAGAGAAAGTTACGTGTAAAATACATACGGATATTTTACTCCATCTCTAAACTAATGTTAGATTTAGGAGTATGTTAATAGTCATAATATATAAAATTAATTACTTTAAACCTAAATAAATATATAAATAATAATAAATTTAAAAATTAAATTCATTAAAATACGGATATTAAACGCGTTATACGAATATTATACGTGTTTAACTAGGAGAGTCATCAAATGAACGGATAAAAATTAAAATACTTGACAATAATACAGATACAAAAATTTTAAATATATAAAATACATATGAGTATATATGTATTAAATAAAGTATTTACAAACTATACAATCCACGCTTATCCCAAGCCTGGCCACATTCATTATTCTTGTCTCTAGTTTACCCACGTATCATCCGCAAATATACGGATCATCACACGTTTGATTCAACTCCAAACAACACAACAACCACACGTTTAATTCATTCCTCCTCTGACCACGTACGATATAATACGAGCCTCTCTTTTTACAATAAAACGAGATCGGAGTGGTTGAAGCAATACAACAGCTAAAAGTAGTGGCGGACACTAAAATTTCTATAGGGTGTCCTCTTTTAAAAAGTAAATTTATTAAAAATAAAAATAATTAATAAAAATAAAATTGTAAATAAGAAAATACAGTACTTGTACAGATTAAAAAAGTCCATGATGTGTTTTCATATACGGAAATAAGTGTAGAATACACTTGGTGTCTATAGTGTTAAAAAAATTTGTCTATATACCATACTAGACAACTTATCGCATATTCGATTTGTATACTTGTTCTTGATGTAACCCAAAGTTGAAAGACTCTTTCAACACTTGCCGTACAATCATAAAATCAATAAAAATTAAGGGTATCTTGAAATTAGTTTAATTGTTTGGTTTTGAAAATAATTAGAGATAGAGAATGACATTTTACTATTACACAGTGTTCAAAATCGAACAACAAATGAGTTGTAGCTCAATGAAAATTGAGTTTATTAATAATAATAGTGTTTTACATTTGAATTACCCAACCTACCACTTATATTCCTATATGCAAATTAATAAAAAAGACAGTAGGATAATCATTTTTTTTCAAATTTCAGGGGTGTCCATCACTATCAATTATATTTTTTTGTCCATACGTAAATTACCACCAAAGGTTGGATAATCGTTTTCCCAAAATTTAGGGGTGTCCCGGAAAACCCTAAAACCCCTGGGTCTGCCCCTAGCTAAAAGTTTGATGATGAACGTGGGAGAAAGTTTGAAAATTTAAAGTTTCATGTGACAATTACAAAGGGGTTTCTGATAAGTATCCGACACAAAAGACTGAAGAGATGGAACAACAACAAATTACACAAACAACTGTGTCTCACTTTATTTTCTTCCTCTGTAACTTCTAGTTACGAACATCAGTATCACATCAGTATCTTCGTTCGAACATTATCTAAAAAGACATGAATCATAATTATACCATCTTAATATCTAGAAATCAACGCGCAGAAGTTTCCATCTCGAAACAACTATTTGCCAAAAAATTAGTATCATCTTCTTGTTGGACTGAAAATGGCCCTTTCTTCTTGCGGTTCTTGAGAAAATGGGCTTTAATTCTACCTGGAGGGGCTGGATCAGGGAGTGCCTTACATCCACTTCATTTTCGTTTTAATGAATGGCACCCCATCGGGGTATTTCTCTCCCACTAGGGGTCTTAGGCAGGGGGATCCCCTCTCACCTTTGCTTTTTGTACTCTGTACTGAGGGTTTTGCCGCTCTCCTGCGGAAGGCTATTGCTGAGCACAAATTGGAAGGTGTGAAGGTTGCTCCTCGTGCTCCGAGAATTTCCCACCTGTTCTTCGCTGATGACTCCTATCTGTTCCTTCGTGGCTCTCTCCAGGAGTGTGAAAACCTGCTTGATGTGTTAAATGAGTACGAAGAACTCAGTGGGCAGAGAGTTAACTGGGTAAATCAGCAGTGTGCTTTAGCAAGAATATTGCCATACCAGACCAAGAGTTCTTGGCCCAGATCCTGGGGGTGGGTGCAGTGGGCGTCCACGACAAATATCTTGGCCTGCCAACGCTGATAGCCCATTCTAAGATGGCTACCTTCCGGTATCTGGAGGAGAAATTATTGGAGAGATTACAGGGCTGGAAGCAACGGACTCTTTCTTGGGCAGTAAAGGAAACCTTGATCAAATCGGTTGCTTTAGCTTTACCCCTGCATGTCATGTCATGTTTTAAGCTCCCCTTGTCCCTCTGTCGCCTTCTTGATAAGCATTTAGCTCGGTTCTGGTGGGGCATTGAGGGTGAACGTTCCAAAATTCATTGGATGTCTTGGCGTAATATGTGTCGCAGTAAGCATGATGGTGGTATGGGCTTCCGTCACTTCGAGCATTTTAATCAAGCTCTCTTGGCTAAGATTGGATGGCGTATCCTGAATGAACCAGAGTCCCTCTTAGCCCAAGTTTATAAAGGTAAGTATTTTCCTCAGGGTACGTTCCTTACGGCCACAGCACGGTCGCGTCCTTCCAGGGGCTGGCAGAGTATCCTGTTTGGAAGAAATTTGTTGGAGAAGGGTCTCCGCTGGCAGATTGGTGATGGTCAGACCGCTTCTCTTCTGCAATCCAGCTGGATTCCTCGCCTACATCCTTCTGCCCCGGTAAGTAATCCTCGGATTATCCTAGAGGACAGGGACCTGTGTGTTTCTGAGGTGTTGTGCCCAGGTGAGGGGCGGTGGTGTGATTCCAAGCTGGGACAATGGTTCGATCCCCCTACCTGTCAGGCAATTAAGGCAATTTCCCTTCCCAGGCATCACATGCCGAACCGGCTTATCTGGCATGATACGGCAGATGGTCAATTCTCTGTTAAGTCAGCTTACCATCTTGCGGTCCTAGTGGATAAGCAGAGGGGTGGGTGGCGATCGTTGGCGTGTTGGATGGATAAGGCTAGTTGGATCCGTATTTGGGAGGCTCATATCCCGCCAAAGCTGAAGGTGTTCCTTTGGCAGCTCTTGAACCGGATCCTCCCAACTACGGAAGCCCTAATTGAGAGAGAGGTCCAGGTGCACCCCAGATGCACGGTTTGTTGGGCGGAAACTGAGACTTTGGAGCATTTTTCTCTTTTGCCCGGTGGCACGGGCACTTTGGGACCTCTCGGGGTTGGAATTTTCAGGACAAGGATTACCTTGCCATACTTTTCCCCTGTTTCTTAAAAGGGTTATGAATCTCATCCATCAGCCGGAATTGTTTATGGCGTTGGTGGCTGTCCTCTGGCGAATCTGGCGGTCTCGGAATTGGTTTGTCTTTGAAGGCAAACAGTTTGGGATCCCAGCTTTAATGCGGCAGTTTCACCAACAATGTGAGGAGTGGTTGAGCCTTCCCAGGGATCGAGTTCTTCCTTCGCGTATCCCGTCTTTTCTCCCAGCGGCCTAGCCTGGTGAGTCCAGGGTCGTCTGCCGCTGGGATGGGGCTACCAGGCAGGGGGCTCCCTCGGCTGGGGGTATGGTTCTTATGACTTCATCCCAGGAAGTAATTCTGGCCAGAGGGATTCAGTTTCCTGACCTTGGTGATCCTATGGTCATTGAATTGCTAACCCTTCGGAAGGCGATTGGCTTGTGTTTGGGGCTGGGATTCACGGAGGTGAGGTTTGAAGGAGATGCCAAGGTGATTATTGACAAGATTATTTCGCGGCAGGCTAGTGATAACCGGGTGGGAGCTATTCTAGAAGAAGTTATACACTATTTTCATTCTCATCCGTGGTTAGGTAGGTGTGCGGTTTATAGGTTGGAATAACAATAGGGTAGCCCATAGGGTGGCTAGAAAGGCCCTTTCTTTGTCTCCGACTATGAGCTGTGTTTTTTATTTTCGGGCCTGGCTGATTTCCAGGATGTAATTATCTCTTATTGATTCAATATAAGAATACCTTTTGTCAAAAAAAAAAAGACTGAAAGTGTAGACTAGAATTAATTTTAAGGATCAAATGTAATATAGGTTTAGATTCGTGTGCCATTTTGTTGTTTGTTTATTCATAACATATAAATGTAATAGCATACAGTATAACATTTGCTTTTGGTAAAATTAACCATCATGATCCATGTAAAATTTTACATAGAAGCGTTTTGGTGGTTTAGAAGCGTAAAAATGTAAGTTTTAAAGCCTTAAAGTGTAGATTTTGACTACACTTATACGCGTGAACAACGCCATTCTACGTTAGAACATTCTAATAACCTAAAAGTATAAAATTGTAAACTTTTAAATTTTAAACCGCGATTTTGACTACATATTAGCCACAAGCATACTAGATTACATTTTCTCATGACGGAGACACTATGGTAGGGGTGGCAGTCGGTCGGTTTTGGTTTAACCGAAAATCAAAATCCCGGTTATCGGTTAAACCGAGCCACCCTGCATACCTGCCGACCACCAACCGTGAGAGTGGTCACGGTTAGCCGGCCAACCGACCGGTCGGTTTTGGTTTAGGCTCGGTTAGCCGGCCAACCGGAAATTACCTTTCTAAATAAAAAAATAATAATAATAAAAAATCGAAAATTTTGCACCACTCATTAGGAGTCCTAACCCCTCGGCCCTCTCTCTCTCCCTACTCTCTCTCGAATCTCTCTCCCTACTCTCTCTCCCGAAAATTCTTCTTCCTTTCCAGTTTCCAGAGAAAAACGAAAATCTATCTCTCTCCCTACTCTCTCTGGAATCTCGATTCTCTTCTTCCTTTGCCTCCCCGAAATCGCCTCCCTCCTACCCTCACCTCTCTCGTTCTGCCCTCTGCCTCCCCGTTGACGGTGACGGGAATAGCGGCGGAACTCGGCGACATCCTCTTTCCCCTCTTTCGTCCCTCACCGACAAATCAACCTAGCTCCCCTAACTCGACCCAAATCGTCGCTTCTCTCTACCTCATCTCTTCACTCCTAATAACAAATCGAGGAGAATGGAAGAAGGCCAAGACGGCGGCGGAGCGGGCAAGACGATGGTAGGCGACGGTAGAAGAAGGTGAGATCAAGTTCTCTCACTTGCATGTCGAATTTTGAGGGTTTGATTTTGGTTTTTGTTTTTGATCTGTGTTATTTCTTTTGGGTTTTGTTCGTGGGTGAGAGGAGAAGAAGAGGTCACCACCGGCGGTTTTCGGAGAGTCGGAGGTTGTGGAGAAGAAGAGGTCACTGCAGGGAGTGGTGGATTCCGTTGGGGAGTCGGAGGTTGTGGAGAAGAGGATGGCCGCGTCTTCGATGGCCGCGGCGTCTTCGGTGGTGGCGGCGGAAATAAGAATCGGCTGCTGAGAGTGTAGATCTGCTTCTTCTTCTTTTTCCTGTATTTGGGATTTTTTTTTTATTGAAGATTTGGGAATGGGGATGAATCTGGACATATTTTGGGGAAGGTGAAGTGGGTCTCGGTTGGCCCGGTTAGTCGGATAACCGCGGTTAATCACCGTCGATTACTCGGTCAACCGACCCCTCCCTTTTCCCATCCGACCACCGACCGTCAAGGTAACCGGTCGGTTTTCGGTTAGCTGGTAACCGGCGGTTTTCGGTTAAAACCGGCGATTACCCGCTAATTAACCGCAAACCGAAATGCCAGCCCTACACTAATGAAAAAGGTCGAGATCACAAAATTAATTACGGGGCCTCTTCTTAAGCCACCTCGCACATGGCACATGTTGAAGCCTCTTCTTGAGGCAAGCAATAATATATAGCCTCTCCCACCTAAGTTACTACTACTTACTAATTAAAGCCTCTCCCATCGGCAGCAAATTAAACCCATCTCCCGGCCGGCCATGGCCCCAAACTACCCAGACGGCGACCAAGTGTCCGCCACCGGCACCACCGTCACAAAAGCCTTCCTCTTCCTCGTATCCCTCCTCGTCTCCATCCTCCTTACAACAACCCTCAAGAGGAAACGAGCCGCCGCCTCCAAGCCCCCGCCACTCCCTCCAACCCCGCCATCATGGCCGGTGATCGGGAACCTCCCGGAGATACTATCCCGCACGAAGCCCACCTTCCGGTGGGTCCACGACGTGATGAAGGAGATGAACACCGACATCTCCCTCATCCGCCTCCCCGGCGGCGGCCCCACCATCGTCCCCGTCCTCGACCCGGCCATCGCCAGGGAGATGCTCAAAAAGCACGACGCCGCCTTCGCCGACCGCCCCACTTCCTTCGGCAGCCACGTCATCAGCGGCGGCTACTTGACCGCCGTGCTGTCGTCCTGCGACGACCAGTGGCGCAAAATGCGGAAGGTGCTGACCTCCGAGATCGTCTCCCCAGCCAGGCACAGGTGGCTCCATGAAAAGCGCGCCGAGGAGGCCGACAACCTCGTCTTCTACGTGCACAGCCGTTGCATGGCCGGGAAGAGCGTCGACCTCAGGGTCGCCACGCGGCATTACTGCGGCAACGTCATGAGGAAGATGCTCTTCGGCCGCAGGTACGTAGAGAATCATTTCGTCTCGAATAATTCGAGTTTGGAGATATTAATAAATTACAAATGTAATTTGAGCTGATATTTTAGAAACGGTATCCTACCGTGTGATCAGAGACTTTAAATAATAGTATAACTTCCGTTACGATTTCACAATTCTGAACAGATTCTTCGGGGAGCCAACCTCGGATGGTGGGCCCGGGCCGATGGAAGTAGAGCAGGTGGAAGCATTGTTCATCGGATTGAAGTACTTGTACTTCTCCGGTGTATCGGATTACCTGCCGTGGTTGAGGGGATGGGACGTCGATGGAAAGGAGAAGATTAGTAGGGAAGCGGATAAGACCATCAAAGCTCTCCAAAACCCTATTATTGACGAGAGGATTCGACAGTGGAGAAGTGGAGAGAGGAAGGAGATCGATGACCTCATTGATGTACTCGTCACTCTCAAGGATGACGTCGATGGGAAACCCTTGCTTACACCCCAAGAAATCAAGAGCCAGGCTGCGGTAACAATTAATTAAAAAAACTATACATAACGTAAGCTGATTCACATTTTTTGTCATTGGCTCAATTTCATGTTCTTATAAATGGGTGTATTTACTCATGCAGGAATTAATGATGGCGGTGATAGACAACCCATCCAATGCGGTGGAGTGGACGATGGCCGAGCTAATCAACGAGCCAGACCTCATGGCGAAGGCCATGGAGGAAATCGATCGAGTTGTTGGGAAAGAATCGCGATTGGTTCAGGAATCCGACATCGGAAGTCTGCACTATGTGAAGGCATGTGTTAGGGAGGCGTTCCGGCTACATCCAGTATATCCATTTAACGTTCCCCACGTGTCTACTTGTGATACGGTCGTGGCTGGCTACCTCATCCCTAAGGGCAGTCACGCCCTGCTTAGCCGTTACGGGCTTGGCAGGAACCTGAAGGTATGGACCGATCCACTCAAGTTCGACCCAGATCGCCACCTTGATGGCACCGGTGATCATAACAGTGTGGTTCTCGCTGAGCACGATCTTAGGTTCATATCATTTAGCACGGGACGACGTGGTTGTGTGGCGACAATGCTTGGGACTTGCATGACCACCATGCTGCTAGCCAGGTTGCTTCAGTGCTTCACGTGGGCTCCATTGGAGGATGGCAAGGGCGCCATTGATCTTGCTGAAGCCGAGGATGAGCTCTTTCTAGCCACGCCTCTCGTAGCGTTTCCTAAGCCGCGTCTGGCTCCTCACTTATACCCCAAAACAAATTAAGAACCCGTTTGTGTTAGGAATATTTATGCGTGACATCCTTGCGCAGAGATTATGTTCATCTTCTTTGTATTATTACAATTTTATCAGATGTCTTCGAAACAATGCATGTATTGTTTGCGCAGAAAATATAAAAAAAAAACAAAGTATTATGGACATTGCATTCATTGTAACTATCCCAACCAAACTATCACCAAAACCAAACGAACCCCTTAGTTGCTGTTAGTTTATCATATTTTACTCATAAATTGTTAGAAAACGGTACACTTAATATTTTGTAGTTGAGAAATCCCATTCTTCTTCAAAATAATTTCATTTTTAGTAAAGAACTCATAAATGAGAGATTGGCAACTAATCATGAGGGGATGGTGTAGTCATGACGTGGCCACATGGCGAAAACAAGAAATTGATCGAGCGTTGGAAAGGAAGGACGTGGCCGCTCGAGAAATCATATATATAAATACTATCTTTGACCGGCCGTTTGGCCGAATTACTTTAATATATTAATCATGGAATGGATGAAGAGTTAGAGTAAAAAAACATTTATTTGGGTCGAACGCACAATTTAAATCTATTTGAGTCCATATAATTATACATATATAGAAGGGTTATAAGTATAATAATATGCCCTTCTACTGTGAAATTTTATCAAACATGCCCTCTACTAATTTTTGCATCAAACATGCACTTATACTTTGTAAAACTGATCAAACATGCTCTTATGTTAAAATTTGCATAAAAAAACCATCAACCATGGTCGAACTTTGGTTTGGGCGACACCTGTCTAAATATTTCTAATAATTTCACTTTAGAATTGTTTTGTTTCTTTTGTATAGCCAAATACCTCTAATAATTTCACTGTAAAGAGACCTGGAAAAATAAATGAGGAGGAAAAACTGACATTTCACCCCCAATTTTTTCTATGTCGAGTCGTGCGAATCTCAATTCAACAATGGCTGGCCGTTTTTTAGTGAAAATTTTAACATAAGGGCATGTTTGATAATTTTTTCAAAGTATAGGGGCATGTTTGATGTAAAAAGTAATAGAGGAGCATGTTTGATAAAACTGCATAGTAGATGAGCATATTATACCTATAGTAGAGGGGATTACTTTAATTTACTAATTATGGAATGAAAGGAGAGTTAGAGCAGAAAAACATTTATTTGGGTCGAACGCACAATTTGAATCTATTTAAGTCCATATAATTATACCTATAAAGAAATATAGATCATCTAGCTATTCACATTAAACCAATTCACACCTTCATTATTGGTGTTTCCACATTTATGTTTGTTATAGAAAAAAAATTTGCAAAAATTACATTAGAGTTGATATTCAATTTTTTTTTGTACCCGATGTAATAGGTCTAATTTAGACTCAAACTAAATAGTCGTTTATTGGTATGACCTTCAAGTGATATTACCAAATATGATTTGACTGGTAATAAATTGGGTTTGGGAAGGATGTTTTTTTGCAATTCATAGTGGAGAGAATTTTTTAGGCCACGTTTGGCATTAGTTGTTCATTCACCACCACATCCAACGCTAATGTATCACTTTTCTATAAGACTTTTTAATTTACTGCGAAATGAGATGATGCAAATTCCTTCAGTTTTGGGTTCAAAATAGTAAATTTGCAATCACTTATTTACATAGTTTCCATCTCCTACTTTTAAATGTGTGAGATTTAAAGTTTCTTTATCTAAATTTCATAGCAAAATATGAACATGTAAAAATTGGCAGAGGTTAGTGAACAACTAAAGATCACAATGATTGTAGCTTTAGTGGTATGGAGGTATATTTGAGCTCATAAATCAATTAACTGCATCTCATCTTTCATTGAAAATTAAGCGAAATTTAGGGAGTCATTCATTGTTATATAAAAGTATTTGAGTAAAATATGTTTGGAAACTATAATTGCATGCATTAGTAAATAATAGAGTTCTTAATTGATATAAATAATAATCGACGGTTGTGATTCAGCGAAATATATTGAAGTGCAAAAACCAAGTGTGAACACAGGCGTACAACGTACGACTGACGTACGTTAGCCTTTGCCATATTTATAGAGGAATATATTATATCTATAACCCATTAAAAAATATACTACAAATTTGTTCAGTCTAATTTGTTATGACCAAGGTTGTCACTCGATTACACCAATGAGTCGTTTAAGCAAGTGGGTTAATGATTAATGGATGAATTGGATTAACCTGGTTAAGCCTAGCTTTACCCAGGTGAATGAAAATTTTATTGATTTCACATGTATTATGCTTAGATAAATGAAATTTCTATGATAAATTTAGATACAATGACGATTTAATATAACTTATTCGTTGAAATTGAGTTTCATTTTTATACTTTTCTCTCACTTGGAACTGATGCTTTAAAATGACGCTTTAATCCTAAATCTCTTCCCTCTTTCTTTTTACCTTTTTCCATTTCATTTTCTAGTTTTTTCTTTTCTTTCTTTTCATTGCATATCAAATTCCATTCTCAATGTTCTTACTCTTCTTCTCCAATTCGATTTCATGTATATATACAAATGAGGACATTGGTCTTTGTTAATCACACCAAGTCTCAAATCCAAATATATGTTCATCTAATCTTGTGGGTTATTCTTTGTTTGAGATGTGGTTGATTGGCGATGTGACCTTGCTGCTGGAAGGAAAATGGAATTGACTATTGAGGAACTGTGTTGGCTTTTGAGATGATTGAGACTTGTATTGTTGTCTGGCGACAATGTAGTCAAAATCGCGCTTTAAAACTTAAAAACTTACGCTTTTACGTTTCCAGGTCACTAAAACGCTTATACACAAAATCCCAGTTTTTATAACTTATATAGTTAAAAACTCCCCTTTAAAACTTAAAAACTTACGATTTTACGCTACTAGATCACCAAAATGTTTCCACGTTGAAACTCGCTTTTGACTACATTGTCTGGCGATACTAAAAGAGGAAAAGATATTATGGGATAACCAAACACAGGTGGTTGATGTATGTTGCTGCATGGGTCTTTGATAAGGAAAAGGACGACATGTCAACAAAGCTAGTGATTAGATTTGTTGAAAATTATGTCGGTTTGAAGTGACTCAGTGCTTAGATGAGTTAGTTGAATCAACTTGATTTCCTAATTCAACTGGTTTTCTTAGTTTGACCAAGTTTGGGTTGATAACCAACTGGGCCTCCAACATCCTAACAAATACTCGGGTTTGGGCAAAACTGATTCGCCCAACCATGTCAAACTTGGGTTGACAATCAAGCTTATTATTCTTGTCTTTTTTGGAAGATACATTGGTTCAAATTCCAATACTTGTTTATTTTCTACAAATAAATAAGTTTAATAATTGTGAAGGCAAATATACCATTCATACTTTCGCTCTCGTTGTAGGAATTTGAAACGGGAAAATAATTTTCTCATTCCAGTCTTATATATTGTATTGTGTTTAGACGTAGACATATGTCATTGCCCTAGAAATTCATTAACATATAAAAAAATGGTGAAATAAACCAATAATTAAGCTCAATCTCGTACAATGATCATTGGATCTAATCATGTCAGATTAGGAACATGTTGAAAGCTTAGCAGTTAATCCGACTAAAACGTTAAAAAAACCACTCCCATATAGTCTGCACTGTGCATAAGGATATGATTTCTTTATAGTTAATTCTAAAAATTAATACTAATTTAAAATTTTGACATTGCTTCGACCTATTTAATACTCTAATTTTATATGCAATATTCAACCAAGTGATATACGGGTTGCAATTTTAAAGTTATCCTCTGTTTATAATATACATTGAAATATAAATTAAGTATTAAAATATAATTAAAATAATAAAAAATATGAAAGTTGAAGTATCAAATCACCTAATAAGTACTTATGAGAGATTTAGTTGCTAGCTAACCGCTGAAAAGGTCTTATGATTTTTGAGATTTTAGGTTTGTGTATGTTTTTCTCTTAAAAGATATAACAAATATATGTAGTGTGATTGGTTGTAGCCATTCCCTCTTTTAAAAGTGGCCATGGTTCAAATCCTCATATGTATATATTTTTTTATGAATAAATAAGAAAGAAATAAGTAGTTGTAAAGACAAAAACGTCATTCCTACTTTCACTCTCGATGCAGGAAATTTGAAATAGAGCAGTGAGTTTTGGCTTTCACCTTTAATAATACAAGTGATGTTCACCTTTAATAATACAAGTGATGCATGGCTGCCAAATCATATACCCCAAACTCCTAATTAATAATGACTCGATTGATAAAAACAATCTATATCTATCTATCTATCTATCTATCTATCTATCTATCTATATCTATCTATCTTCTATACTTAATATTATGACTATTCAAAAGTAACTTCTTGCCACATAAGCACTTGGTAAATTCACAAGATGACAAGGTGGACAATTTTTTTACAAGCAAAATTTTATTTATTGATCTATTTATGAAGCTATCTCTCTCTTCTTTTAATAATTCTACTAATTTTTACTAAAACTTAAAATAATTTACTTTTTTGTGATACATTTAAACAAACAAACACACATAAGTAATAATGTTTTTTCAATTAAACAAACTATAAAGATGAAAATATAGAGTGACATAAGTCGTGTTTGTTTAACCCAAAAATATCTTATTAAATCTCATTACGTAAAAATTTTATTAATTTTTACTAAAACTTTATAATAAGTTACATTTTGATGAAAAAAGAAGCACACATATATAATTTTTCAATTAAACAAAGTTTAAACGATGGCCTAAGAGAAAATAAGTGGTTGACAATCAATCGACTTTGAAAAAAATAAACTATGTGACTATATATTTTTTGCTATCAAACACTCACTTCTTCCTGATGCATATACTTATAAAATAAAACAAGTATAATTTTTATAGAAAAAGGTCTAAGATAAACTTGACAGAGCAATAATTTTTATTTTTTTAAAACATTTCTTATTCATTCCGATTAAATGAAACATATTAATTATGAATGCAACCTTTTAATTTATCTCTACCCTTTTTCCCATTTTGATTATCTCTTTGGAAATAAAATCCAACATTGAAAATAAGAATTAGATAGAGAAAGAAATGGTAATGCATATGAAGTTTTTTTTAGGAGAGTTGGAGGAGGGAGTTACACGAGGCAGCGATTAGATGACAAAATTTTGAGCAATTGTTGCATATTTTTTCTTATTGATGAAAACAGTTCATCCTATAATTGCGAAGACGAGGTGAACCAAACCGAGGATTGTCGACTGCTCCCTCTTCCTCTTTGATCTTAAGCTGGCAACTGCTTGCTCTTCTTTCTGTTCTTTTCTTAATTTCTTCCAAATTAAGACTGTTGGATGGTAAATTGCTCCACTCGATGAGCGAATGTATTTCTTCTTCGTTTTCACAGAGTTTTTTTTATGTTCTCTATTACGTCATATACGTTTATGTAAAATAGGTAATATATAATTAGAAGGGATAATTGGTTGGACTTAAGGCATATCTCCTTTGGTTGAATAATTGATCATTTTCCTTAAATGTCTATTGCAACCCGAGGCAGCGAAAGAAATGGTAATGCATATGAAGTTTTTTTTAGGAGAGTTGGAGGAGGGAGTTACACGAGGCAGCGATTAGATGACAAAATTTTGAGCAATTGTACCATATTTTTGCCTATTGATGAAAACAGTTCATCCTATAATTGCGAAGACGAGGTGAACCAAACCGAGGATTGTCGACTGCTCCCTCTTCCTCTTTGATCTTAAGCTGGCAACTGCTCGCTCTTCTTTCTGTTCTTTTCTTAATTTCTTCCAAATTAAGACTGTTGGATGGTAAATTGCTCCACTCGATGAGCGAATGTATTTCTTCTTCGTTTTCACGGAGTTTTTTTATGTTCTCTATTACGTCATATACTTTTATGTAAATAGGTAATATATAATTAGAAGGGATAATTGGTTGGACTTAGGGCATATCTCCTTTGGTTGAATAATTGATCATTTTCCTTAAATGTCTATTGCAACCCAATTCCTTAGATGTTGAAATGAAAAGTAGAGTTGTGAGGGTTATTCATTATATTTTTTATGTTCATGATTGACATGTTACTAGCTAGCTATAAGATGAAATCTGGTTAGTAATTAATAGGTAGGAAAGGGATTATAAGTAGAAGAAAACATAATTGGGGTTTTATAAAGGTCGCGAAGAAGAAAAAAATGATGGTGGTGGTTACTTGGTTGTGTATTTCGATGTTTTTTTCAAGTTTTACACGTTTGCAATGACATTTGTTTGTTTCATTAGGGTGAATTATTACTCATTAAATTCCTAACTAAAACTTGATTTTGACATGATTATTTTCTTACCAACTACTATTTGGATTGGTGCATAATCACAAATGAGGAATATGCAAGATAGAATGAGTTGAGTTGTATTGAAGTATGCTCCTTTCATTATTTGTCTATGTTGTTATTAGGTAGAAAAGCACCATTTTTTTCTGCAGGAGATATGTAGCTCTCTATAAAATATAAATTGTGTTTATATGCAGTTTAGTTTGCTGAAAATATTGCTTTAATAAATTAGTGACAACTGATAGTTCTGTTTGTGGTTGGTTTTGCTAGAACATTGTCAAGATAAATTAAATGAGTATGCGGAAGATTGATGGATGTGGATGCTTATGTGTTTCATCATTATTCCAGAATTGCAAGTGTAACTGATAATACACGATATTCGTGGGATCTAGATCGAAATATTCACTATTATCTTATACCGGCATATGAAAAGGGAAAGAAAATGAAAAGCTCTTCGCTTATTTTTTTATTAATTGAAGCATATTTTCTTATTCTAACTTCTTCGTTTGTTGCCTTAAATTTTTTTAACTTCTTTATCACTTTTTTTATTTAGATAGAAAATTCTAAATCGATAAACAACGATATAGAAAGAGCTCAGTTAATACAATTAAATTTTTCATAAATAAAAAAGCTATAAAAGTATGAAACGTTACCAAAAATAAGGTAAGTGAGATTTACAATTCCATGTATATTAGCTCAACAAACATAAATAATAGTAATAATTAGAATACTATAATAAATTATAAAATAACCAAGCATAATGCACCGCCCAACGGGCGGGTAAAAAACTAGTAAAACCTAACAAAAAGTCCCACTCTCCTATTTGAGTTTCAGCCCCCCTAATAATCATATAAATCACTAAATTAGTTCAAATTGTGTAGTAATGACAAAACGTGCTGAGGACGAACTCTTCGTACCGAATTCAAATTAGTCCAAATTGTTGAGTACTAATTTATGACTATTAACTGCTAGTAGGGGGGCAAAACTCGAATAAGAGAGTGGGACTTTTTGTTAGGTTTTATTGTTTTTATCAATCGAGCCATTATTAATTAGGAGTTTAGGGTAGGCCATTTGACAACCATGTATTGCTTGTGACAGCAGCGATCCCCTCCATATCGCTTTTGTAATCTACGATTAATATAAATCGTCTTTGACTCCGTCCGATATAATATCCTCATCAGTAGAGCTGTCAAAATTGAACCCAATCCGACTAACCCGCCCAACCCACCCGACACACAACCCGTCCATAACCCTATTTGACAAAAGTCAACCACCCGAAGCCCGCCCATAACCCGAAACCAATTGACCCATAATCCGATCTACCCATAATATCCTTATCCGATCCAATCCATAACCCGACCCATCTATAACCCGAATGATTCATAACCAAAATAATCCGTAACCGAACCGAACCCAACTCGAATAACCCATTTGACTCGAATGCTTGTACAAGAAATAACTATTGTTCTCATAATAATTGAAACTTATTAGTAGAATTGATGGTATAAATTGAGGTTTTTTCTTAAATATTTAATTTTAAAATAATAATATGTGAAATATCTTTTCATTCATTTTTTATTTTATGAAATTCAAAGGATAAATTTTTGAAGATAATATGAAGAGTTAGACACAAATTCGTATCTCCACCACCCATAACTATATTAAAAAAATCAACCCTTGAAAATCAATGAAATTCCCAAAATCAATGAAATCAATGATCCCTATCAAGATATATAAGTGAATAGTTTACTCTTTTACTTCATCCTCAACTTTTTACTAATTTTATTTATTTTTTATAAAATTAATAAATCGACGATTCGAACTAGATGATAATATCATATTTGAGCAAACCGTTGTTCGACCCATGAGTTTTAGGATGAGATGTTACCGTGAATATATAAAAAATTGTGAAGATATATAAGTGGGTGATTCGGAATGATGTTCATAAGTCTTCGTGGAAATGAAGAGACACACATCTAGTTCATACTATATTTAATTAAGATGATTCATTTCGAGATGTATAAGCATATAGTCTACCTTTTTTACTTCATTTTCAAATTTTTACTGATTCAATTTTTTTTTTATAAATTAATAAAATAAGTGAAGTTACAATCTTTCACCATAAACAAAAAAAATTATAACGAACAACAAAACTTGTATATACACTATTTTATTTATATTTAGTTTTTATACTAACATAATGAATATTTTATTTGTCTATGTAAAATATTATCATTTTCTTTAATTTTGTATCATTACCTATAATTTATATTCATATATTGATAGTTTGTAAAACATTATTTCCTATCAAGAAGTAAATGATCCAATGGGTTTGTAAAACATTAGTTTGTAAAACATTAGTTTGTAAATAACCCATAATCTGATCTGACTGAACCCGAATCAACCCGCAATCCAATAAACCCATAATTTGATGCACCCGTAACCCAACCCGATCCGTAACCCAATTGCCTAGTGACCTGATTGACTTGTAACCCAATTAACTCGCAACCCAATTAAACCCGATCGAAATTGAAACGACCCGATTGAACCTAATCCGAACCCGACCCAACCTGCCCAATTGACACCTCTACTCATCACTCAGCACCAGCTTACAGAATATAACCGAAAACTACTTCCAGTAATTAACCACCTGAAACTTTCTCACGTTGGGGGAAAAACGAGCAGCTGGTAGATCACACCAATGTAGTCAAAATCCCGATTTTAATCTTAAAATCTTACGATTTTACGATCTTACGATTTTACGATCTTACCTATGGGTTCCGATCCTGATTTTACTGTAAAATCTTTGAACCTTAAAATCCCATAAAATCCCGATTTAAAACTCTAAAATCCATAAAATCTACG